TGTTGTTAAAACTAAATCAATGTGTCAGGCTGAAATAACGCATCACAGTGTGTCGTTACAGCTCTAAACAGAGCGAATCTGAAAAAACTGAAGATATGGCTTTTCATTAATTCATTTTAAGGGCATAAATCATTCCCTTTGAAGCGCAGCCGAGCCTGTTTGCAGGGAACATAAGAACGCCAATATGGACAGCAGCTGGTCAGTTGGGATGAACATGACATGCTGTTTGTTTGGGAAGAAAATGGAAAGTAAAAGGAGAAACGAGGACATAAAAGAGTGAAAGCAGATGACCAATAACCAAAAAAATCTCTTCACATAGCAGGCATTTTCTGTGAGAAACAAAACAAACCCCTATTTGATGAGTGAAAAGCTCTTGGACAACAATGGATACTCAAAAAAACTTTATTTAAAAAAAAAACATCAGACATGCCACAGCTCTGACAGGACAAGCTGCGCTATCACATGTTTGTCCCAGATGCTCACAAGAGAAAGCCCTGTTTGTGAATCTGAATCTCTAATTCACACAGCAGACAACCAGCAGAGTTGCATCAGCCGAATGCAATATATTAGGGATAGTGAACAGAGAATGAAACGCTGACCACAATTAACTTAAATGAAGAAATTAAATCAAGTCCCTGTGACTGTGGTCAAAGCAAAAACATCATGGCACACAGAACTGGCACAGGTTTTCATCACAGATTATGTAACAGAGATCTGCTGCCCTCTTGTGTACGAAAGTAGGATTTCAACATAACTTGAGGAGAGCACAGGTTAGCACTGAACATGTCACTTAATTAGAAGTAGTTTGTAAAAATGACATTTTGTGAGATATATGTAAAATGTCAATTTAAATAGCAACTAATAACTATAGCTGGCAAATACATGTAGTGGAGTCTATTCCCTCTGAGTTATAGTGGAAATACACACCATATAAATTAGAGTTTATGACAAATTGAGAATTAGTATGAGAGTTTGGAATAAAATATATAGATATTTCTGAGAGAAAGTGTGGTTAAAGAAAATACATCAGTCAATTTGTTTTAAGGGGCAGAATTTCCAAAGATTAAACATATTTTAAAACACTATCGCTCTGAAATGCTGATCGACAGAAAAGTAATCTGCAACTATTGAATGAAGTTATTTTCTAAAAGCTAAAATAACAATTATTGTCAGGTTGGAGTTTGTCCAATGTGATGATTTTCTGCTGTTTCATATTGTAAATCGGATATCTTTCGTTCTTTTGCTTGTTGTTTGGACGAATCAAGACATCTGATGTCACCTTGCACTCTGGGAACTTGTGATGAGCATTTTTCACTTCTGTCATTTTAGAACTATAAAGTGTTTTTAACACTTCTGACGCTTCTTTGCAACATATGTCAAGGGGAGAAATAACCATGAGAGCAGTACAATTACTAACCCACAGAGGAGAGCTATGCGGTAAGGCTGCAATCAAACAGGAAACAGCAACCGTCAGACACCTTATCAGAATGTGACAGCTGGCCAAGTGTGCCGGTGAAGGAGGGAACCTCCCATCCCACATGCTGTTGATAATTATATACATGGTATCTGCATAGGGCTGAGCAGCGAGTCCTGCCATCCCAACCAGCACAGCTAACCGACACTCTACATTACCCTGTGCCCCCTTAAGCTTATCCCTGTTGATCCAATCACTTCTAAACTTGCTGTTGGTCTTAACGACGCTGGACTGAGGAGACATCCGACCATCCGGGCCAAAAGCTTGTCAGGCAAAGTAATGGCAAAAATACAGTACAGCAATGTAAAAACACCCAATTAACTGTCCTGCATTCAAAAATGAACTTAAATAACAGTAAATGAATATTGTCATCCATTGTACTTAAAGTATCTAAAGTAGAAGTAGTCACTATAGGCTCTGACTCCTTCTGACTCAGTAGCCATGACAGTTACAGTTTGACTGACGTCATCATCCAGCCTGTCAAGCATCTACTCTCAAGATGCCCTTGCTGACTCTTGTTTTAATTATAGCTGTTTGGGAATATTGTTAATAATTTGAGGTGTTCATTTTGTTTTTCTGTGATCAGATGGCTGCCAACCAAGCTAGCCATTGTGCTAACATTAGCTGTCTGATGCTAATGTCTTTACCAACTGTTCTTGTTGGGCATGATGATGTTATGGAGCTCTTTCACTCTTTTAACCTCCTCTTCTGTACTGTATACGTTTACTTGACAAGTTATCGTTTCTTCTTGGTGTGAGGGAGAATGTAACTTTAACTAACTGGGCTATTAACAGTTATTTAAAGTATAGAAAATCCTCTCCCATTACATCTAACTAGTGGAGCCACAGAGTCATTGATGGCCTCGTGTGGAGGCCTCGTTCCTCCAGTAGTTCATCTGTGTATATGATGTGTACGTTTTCTTAGGTTTAAATGCATTAGTAGCAGCTTTTATGATTAATATGCTGTTGATTTAGTTGTTAAAGTTCTATTCGAAGTAGCTTAAATGTATTTGAAGTTAAATTGCCTTTGTTGAATTATTTATTTTTGAATAGGAATTATGATGTCTAGATTAATATCTTTAATTATTATTTTTCTTCTGTTGTCAGATAAACCAGTTGAACTCTGTGATATTGAAAGATTGGACTGGAACTCCTGCCTCTGCTCACCTGTCCTAATAGATAGGTCATTGAATTGATAAGAACCCTGGAACCAGACTAGCCGAAGGCCGAATCAATATTCCTTCAATCTAAATATCCTTCACTAAGTTATACTTCTGTGAATCCAGTTTTCTTGTTCCTCATTCTTTTGACAGTAGGCTACCTTGGTCTAAAAATAACATTTATTTTTTACAGTTAACACTTGGAATGATGAAGGTACTTACACATGACAAGGTGGTACAAAAAAAACATACTTTGGTGTTTCATTCAACCTCTTTATTTAGGATTTCATTAACTTATTTTATTCTTTTTACAAAATGAACCAAAACACTGAAGTGAAGATGATCTTGAGTAAATAATGATGAGAATAAATATGATACACAATTTATATAATGCCTTCTAAACTAAAAAATAAATCTGGTTTGAATTTAAATCAAACACTATAAGCTTGTTTGATGTATCTCATCTTTTTCTGATTTGTATTAACTACAGATGTTTTATCGAACAGTTTTAAAATTGCTTTCAGAAAAGTCTTCATCCAACTGCTGCCTTCAACCTTTATTGGAAGTGTGTTTCGCTGGCAGCACATCAGTGATGCTATATGCATAATAAGGGTATGAGCACCTCCTTACATCATGTAAGTTGTTGTAGTTACTGTCCATCACTTCAAAACTGAACCAAATTGTACTAAAAAAGTTGTACAGCTGTTCCTGCAGGGCTCATTGTCGTTGTAATGGTGATTTATAATGCAGCAATTTAGACCGATACAGGGCCAAATCATTCCATCATTTTGCAAACATTACAAATTATGTAAATTTGACTGCATGCAGCTCCAATGTGGTTAACTTTTGAGAAGTGAATGTTAGTGAGAGGAGGAGATTGAGACTGTGCCAATGAATTAAGTTCACCAAATGTTTAGTTCACAAATTCACAATTTCTGACATTTACATTTTGGTGATTCTTGAATTTTACTTTGAAAATGAAAACTTGATCTATTGCATTCGAACCATTTACATATTTTATATATTGTGAAAGTATTTCTCATTTCAGTTGTAATTATTTATTTATAATATGCGCCGTTACAGAGAGCAGTTGGCAGTGAAAATCTCTCTTATACAATGCTAATTAAATATGTATATAAAAAAGATCATGCAAGTATGAACTAAATGAGAATCTAAACATGAAATAGTGCAAGTTAAAAACTCTATTGTTATATTTTAAAAATGTGAAGATATGTCTCAAATGTGAAGAATTGTTCTCTTTTTTTAACAGCTACAATATTAAAATGCAACCTTTTTATGACTATACTTCTGTGCATTGCTCAAGTAACATTAATGTATGATTGTAATGGGGTGTTTTTTTGTGTTTTGAGGAAAATTTGTGATTTGATTTTGGGCTATAATAATATTCACAGAATTCATTCTCTAATAATTCTGGCCTATTTTTGTCTTCAGATTGTTTTAAATGTATTCTATCAACCTAAAATGAACAATGAGTCAAAGTAATCATATACGCAGCTAATAAAGAGTGATTTGTTTTCATTGTTTTATTATTACTTTTACTTAAGTAATCAGAGGACATCTAACTTGTAACTTTTGGCTATTTAAATAAAGTTGTGTTGCGATTTATTATTTATTTACTTTTAAAGTTCTATTTAAATATTGTCTTTAAGTCCTTTTTGCTTGTCAAACATAAACGCATGAACTTGTCCCTTTGTATTGCACAGAATCAAAACATATGTGCAGCTAATAAAGTGTAATTGCCAAGGGATAAAGTTGTATAGGAGCTTCAAACCACATGCTTGCTTGATACTGTACATATGTTAGATCATAATGGCAGCTGCTTATTACTTAAGCACTTAAGTACAGTTTTGAGGGACTTTACTTGAGTATTTCCATAATTTGTTACTTTATACTTCTACTCTACTACATTTTGGAGGCAAATATAGTACTTTTTGCTCCACTGCATTTATTTTATAGCTATAAAATGATCTCCACCTTTACCAGCTGCAACATTAAAGTGAAGTGCATTAATGCATCACTTATTATAATCCAGTAATATATATTATTCTGAAATGGGACATTTTGCCTAATGACTTACTTTTGGTACTTTTAGTTTATTTCGATTTTTTTAAATGCAGGATTTTTACTTGGAACAAAGTATTAAAGTGGGGGTATAACTTTTTCTTTTTTTTTTTTTTTTACAAAATATACAAAATATTATTTAAAATATCTGGATACTTCTTTCACCACTTCATAGGCTTCAGTCTATCATATTAGTCTTTGCATCTGCAAAAACACGTTTTTGGTATCTTGACAGGACATCTCTGATGAGAGAGAGCAAGAGAGAGAGGGAGGGAGGGAGAGAGAGAGAGAAGGAAGGAGGGAGAGTCAGAGAGAGGGAGGGAGAAGGAGAGAGAGAGAGAGAGCGAGAGAGAGCAGCTGAGTCCGAAACAGAAGTGACCGCTAGCTTCATGTCAACCGTTACAGCCGTTACTGAACTAGCAGGAGCGGAAATCTTTACCCGGGGGAAGAAGAAGAGGGGGACACACACAGAGGCAGAGAGAGAGGGGGGGTCGCTTATGAAGGGACACTCTGGACTGTATTTCCTCACGTTTGAACCGACTGAATTATTTTTTTTTAAACCTATTTTTCCAAGCATCTCGGGAAATAAGAGCTGTCGGAAAAGGAAGGTTAGCTAGCCACCGCCATCTCCTCTCCTCTCCTCTCTCCTCAGTCGGAGCCGTGTCTTCCACACACCATGGGGAACGCTGCCACCGCCAAGAAGGGCAACGAGCTAGAGAGCGGTGAGTCCCTGTTGTTTTGGCCTCCATTTGTGTCCTTTTTTTCGTGACACTTATCACACCTCCTCGAAGTGTAGGTAGCTGTAGCCTGTTTACAACACTTGAAACTGTCCGACAGTAACGTGAAAGCAGTCTGTTATCCCACAGCGGTACAAACACTCCATTTAGTTGACAATATAAATGCAGGAGAGTGTTTGTGTGTTGTTGTTTTTTTGTTTTTTTTTGCACGTTAAAAATGACTAAAGATGCCTATAGCTAAGTTAGCTAGTAGCAAGAAGACCCCGTGAATGTTGTGTGTGTTTTTTCTCGGCTGCAGTGGAAGACAGCCTGTTAAAGCTAATCGATAAATTCTCCGTTATTGATGAACTCACTAAAAGGCTGTTTGAATGCCAACTGGAGCACAAAAAAGGATCAAGCTTGATAACCAGCAAGCCTTGCTAACTTAAGCTATGAGTGGGGGGATTAGCCCTCAGAAGGCCCCTCTGTCATTTCATTGCCTCTTGATGGAGGTAGCTCTTCAGGCCTGTACACACACGCACACACACATATACACAGTTAGCCACGGCGTTGTAGTCGCTTCCTGTTCCTTTTAGGGAATGGCTAAAACGTCTCCAGGCGAGCATCACTTCATCATCTCCCCTGTGTTATCATCATCATTAACTTATGTGAATAACAATCAGGATGTGGGTCTTGCTGTATGCTGAGCTGCAGCTCAGCTAGCTGCATCAGACAGAAAACTTTGCTCTGATGTTGTTAAATCTGCAGCAATAAACCGCAAACCCCATGAGTAATTGTTATAAAAAGCTAATACACGTATTTTTTTTTTTTTATTACTAAATGAAGGCAGTGTGGGACTGTTTCAGTCTCGGGCTTCACTGCCACATTTTATTCTTGGCTACATAAACAAAGCTTTCCCTCTGTACAGCACCCTGACCAAATATGGTGAAGAAATGACAAATGCCCTCTTTCCATTCATAAAACTGGACCCACTGCTGTCTTCTCAGCATACACACACACACACACACACACACACACACCCACACACACCCACACACACACACACACACGCACACACTCAGACAAACACACTTGAATTGTGGCACTTGAGCCCCTTTTCTAATCTTGCTGTGGTCGAGGTCCACCAGGGCTCGCTTCTCACATTCAGCTCGTCATTGACCGGAGCAGCTTGTCATCAGACCTCCGTCAGAGGATAAGGGGTATTACAAGCTTTGAAAGGTTTGACGCAACTAGGCCTAGGCCTGTGTTACTTTACGCTTGTATACTTTGATGTGTGCATCTGGTCATCATTCAGCATGTGTGATAAATCAGAAATGTTTCCCCTATACCTGGTTGTAAAGATAAAATCTGCAGGTGTTTTTTGTTTTGCAGAAGTCATTGCATTCGATGGCCTCAAATGAGTCACTTTTTCACAGAAATTGTCAACTACTTTCATGTATTTTTATAATCTTAAAACACATGCAAAGGACCCGTCTGTGTTACAGTAACACGCTTTGTTTGTTTTAAGTGCTGCCACTTTATGATGCAGTGAATACCTTCCTCTTGGATTTATTGACCTGTTGAGAGAGACCAGGCACAGGGAAGAGTGCCAACCAGAGAGCCTCTCAGTCAGACAGAGATGATCAGATCAGCACTAGTTCCCATCCTGCCAAGCATTTCTTTTGAGTGCAACTATGATGCCTAGATACTGCGTACTGTTAAACCTGTTTAAGCTGACACCGTGCCCTGAGCTGCAGATTTGTCTGGAGTGCAGCCACTCTGACTAGACGACGTGGTTTACCTACACTGCTGTATATATACACACACCAGAGTACCTGTGTTTACTGTATATAGCCGCCGTTAGCTGGGACAGTTGGAACAGCACCTTAGCAGTCTCGCTTGCACAGGGAGATTAACCAGCTGCCATCATGACACATATTTTATTTCACCGTGCCCATGTGTTGTGTTTCACACTGGTGTAACAGAACAGGCTGACATAACCCAACCTAGTTCTGCTTGTCTGGATTTTGGCATTGCTGTCAGGAAGGGTTGGAAAGCTCTGCTGGCTTTGGACCATTTGGTCCCTCAAGGCACAGTTGTGCGTACAAAGATACCTCCTATTTATTTTAACTGTTAAGTCTCTGTGACTGGATGAGGGATATTAAGTCATTGTAGATTACATTTTTTGTCATTATCAATTTATCTGCAGGTTATTTTCTTGATTAATTAGATCTACGATGCTTAATCAATTAGTCGGTCGTCAGGAAATTAATCAACAACTATAACATGATTGATCAATTATGTCATGTTTCAACTGCCAAACAATTGATTATTCCAGCATCTCAAATATGAATATTTGCGGATTTTCTCTGATTTGCATCATTACAAATGTAATATCTTTGGTGGTGACGTCGGCTGGTATCATCATCTTTGGTTCTGGAAAACTGTTCTGTGTTGGACATTCTGATTTTTCATATAAATAATGTATAATCAATAAAATAAAAGTCAGGTTAATCAATAACAAAAATAGTTGTTAGAAAGAAAAGCAGCAAATCCTCACAATCAGGAAGCTGACACTTGGATGCTTGTGAAATCAATATAGTTGTGGATTGTTTTACTGTCGATTACTAATTGTTTTAGCTCTATTTTTCTCAAAGCAGTCATCATGATATGATATTTTACTACTGGATTATTGCAGAAAATAATCTCTGTGCCAAACAAACCTTTATGATGCGTGTCATGAACGCTAACCACAAAGCCGTAAAGGCAGACTAGTCGGCCAGATGACGTTCTGTAGTCTCATTTAGCCACTTGTTAGCAACCACGAAAGATTAAAAATTCACAAGAGGGGTATTTACTGACGTGTTTTATGTTGTAGAACAAAACATTAACATCTCTTAAGCTTGTGTTTGCCACAGACCTTATTTTAAGCTTCTGACTAAAACCAGATCAAAAAGGACACATCGACTTCAAGACGAGGGAACCGGAAGTTTTCAGACTCATTCTCTATTTTTCAAAACTATTTTAGCGAGAGATGTGGACAGATTAAGGTGCATTCCTCGTCATAAGCTTCAGAAACGTTTCAAGCTTTGTAGAATAACGTAGTGTTCAAATGTTTTCTTCTCCAGAATGCAGCGTTATCTTGTCCATCTGACCTAATATGCTCCAATGACTTGCTGCTAGTTGCCATTTTGGTACACCTGTTCTTCACTTACCTCAGCAGACAGTCAGTCTCCGGTTAAATTCCTCTGGTGAATGTCAACTCTGTTTTCATACCTGTCGCTCGTACTCACTACATACCCTGTTTGTTGACGTGTTATACCTGTTGTTATGTACATGAACTCTATATTTCTCTCTGTCTTTCTCTTCTGTATCATCCCATCCGTGTGGGTGATTGTTCCTGCAAAACCTTGGTGATCAATAGAGACGTTTGGTATGCTCATTCCTCCAAAAGATGACCACAGCGCCGCCGTTGGTCTCATTGTGTCTACTTGCTAGATGTGCTTGCTTTTTATTGTGTGCTTTGATAATAAGTCCGTGTTTTTGTTATCCACATTCTCTCAATCTGGATTTCACATACATTGGTTTGTCTTTAATTATAATTTTTTTTAATGCTGTGTTTAATAGCCTTCTCCCAAACTGTATCAAGTGATGCACAAGATGCTCAGATAAACTTTCCCTGTAATTCTGCGTGTTGTGTGTGTGTGTGTGTGTGTGTGTGTGTGGCCCCTCTTCCCTTTTGAACAAGGCTACTAAATACCAGTAACAGATTTACTGAGTGTCTTGGCATGCATCACTAGTCTGCCTGTCCTCAATGTTGTTGTCTTGTGTCTGTTTTGTCTTATCTTTTGAACAAATTGTCATATTTTTAGTATCCTATGTTAATGTATATCCAGATGAGAGTTGACTTTGCCCATGTTGCTCTCCGTTGATTTACAGTTTAATTTACATTTCCCACAATTCTTCCTTTCCTCTTATAGTACGATATAGCATTTGGTCTTTTTGCCAGTTTAATCTCAAACCCAATGTGTATTTATTCACAATAATTCAGTTTGTTTCACCAGACAAGAGCTAACTGTATCTGTCTGTGCTCTCTCTTTTTTCTTTTTGTAGTGAAAGAGTTTTTAGCCAAAGCCAAAGAAGATTTCTTACGGAAGTGGGAATGCCCACCACAGGTACGGAAGATGAAAACTCTCATATTTTTGGTGGCTGCGTCCACAGAATAAACTAACGCGTTGTTGTTTTCACAGAGCACGACGTGCCTCGACGACTTTGAGAGACTAAAGACGCTGGGTACCGGCTCGTTTGGAAGAGTCATGCTGGTGAAACACAAAGGAACAGAGCAATATTTTGCCATGAAAATACTGGACAAGCAGAAGGTCAGTGGACGCACGTGTCCCGCCTCATGGAACATTGTCAAATACATAAAAGTGTTACTGACATGTGCAGTTAACGCTTAATACCTTCATATCTCCCTGAAGTTACACAACGTTAAAACTTGTTCTTGTTGACTACTAGGAGACCCAAGTTAAATAAATAAAAAACTAGACGCGGCCTTTCCTGTCTGTGGCTGCTATCTCTGCTGCTGCAGTGAGTGAGATTTTGCCCGATAAGGTCCTCTTATCTCTTTTTATCTTTCAGGTGGTGAAGCTCAAGCAAATAGAACACACACTAAACGAGAAGAGGATATTACAGGCTGTGAGCTTCCCCTTTCTTGTCAAACTAGAGTATGCGTTTAAGGTACAATGGGCTTTTATTTTTTAGTAATTTACATTCATTTATACAGTTATGAAGCATGGTATAAGTGTTTTTTTTTTTTTTTTAGGACAACTCCAATTTGTACATGGTGATGGAATATGTTCCAGGAGGAGAGATGTTCTCACACCTAAGACGAATCGGAAGGTTCAGGTGAGTTTTATGCTGTTTCTGTGTCTCACTATTAAAGTCACCCTTTATTTCATCTTTTATTTTCCGCTGTGTGTCAATAACCACACTCTTTCCCTCCTCTGCAGTGAACCACATGCACGGTTTTATGCCGCCCAGATAGTGCTGACCTTTGAGTACCTCCATTCACTAGATCTCATATACAGAGATCTGAAACCCGAGAACCTGCTAATTGATCACCACGGCTATATTCAGGTGAGCTGGAACAACGGAAAATGAATACGTAACGCTGCCCCGTGTTACAAGTCGACACTTGGCCCATGTATTGTGTGTATATATATATATATATATATATATGCTCCTTAAAGGTGACAGACTTTGGATTTGCCAAGCGGGTAAAAGGCAGGACCTGGACGTTGTGTGGGACACCGGAGTACCTGGCGCCAGAAATCATTCTCAGCAAAGTACGGAGGTTTTTTCATTTTTTTTAATGTCTGAACAGAGAGATTGTTTGATATTTTCTTTTGTCACAATGTTCACTTTCCTGTCTTTGTACTCAAAACTCCATCTTTAAAGGGCCAGCGTTTAGCATTTCAGGGTATTTATTGGCAGAAATAAAATATTCAGAGGCTCGCGTTAGTCTTGGAAAATCTGCAACTACTAGATGTATTCACATCCTACACACTGTCCCTTGAAACACATTGCATTTTTGGGAGCAGATTTTTGTTTGGTCGTGCCATTTTTTGTTCCTCTTGAGAGATGATTGGTTGAACATGGATCATGTTTAATAATGTTGAGGTTTTCCAGCACAGCTACAAAACAGTTTAAAGCAGATAAGATGTCACACTAGTTTAATCATACAGGTCAAAAGTCACTCTACAACAACAAGAGGCACCATTTTGTTTAGTCATTTGCATCAGTAGATAATCAAAGTAATGCAGAACAGACATTTAGGTAGAAACGTCACTTGTGTTTTTTCATACTGTACATCGTAGTAAACTTACTCCCTTGTTCGATGTTAGCCAGTTGGGAGGTTTGAAGTTCCCTCTCAAGGTTTAAAGATGTCTTAACAAGGAAGTTATTTATCAGTAACAGAAGTACCTCTCTCAAATCTGCTTAGGGCTATAACAAAGCTGTGGACTGGTGGGCCCTCGGAGTCCTCATCTATGAAATGGCAGCTGGTTACCCTCCATTCTTTGCAGACCAGCCAATTCAGATCTATGAGAAGATTGTGTCCGGGAAGGTAGGCGGGCGTTTTAAATGTGGAATGTGCTTCCTACCTGACGGTTATAGTTGTGTGTACAAAACTCAGGTTTCTACTGCTAGGAGGAAATTCTAAAAACGTTATTTCTTCTCCTTTCTAGGTACGGTTCCCGTCCCACTTCAGCTCCGACCTGAAGGACCTGTTGAGAAACCTGCTGCAGGTGGATCTGACCAAACGTTACGGCAACCTGAAGAACGGAGTCAACGACATCAAGGGCCACAAATGGTTTGCCACAACAGACTGGATCGCAATCTACGAGAGAAAGGCGAGACGCATACACATTTAACAGTGACACCAAACACTGTGACCCCTATAAGAAGAGAACAACAAGTTAATTAGATATTGATTTACTGAGATTGATTTTTCTTTTTTTGCTAGTTGTAAAATTTCCAGTTCTGCTGGCTGTGAGCCGTCGGTGCCAGAAGCCATTTTGCAGGATGGCAATGATAATGGAGTTCTTCGATTAATCAAAGTAGATATTTTGCTCAGGCTTGACTCTCATTGATCTGTTGATTGTGTTTAACTTCCTCATTATACAATCATAACACGGTTTTATAATCTTCACACTGGTTCTTTCTGACCATTCGTTTTATTGCCCTGCATCAGTGTTGCCCCCATGCTTTGCAAGAGCTGGTGGCAAAATAGCTGCTTCCACCAGACACAATGTCGTGGGATACTGTGTCTGTTTACAGCCTCTATTCAGTGAAAAGAGTTAATCTGCTTCTTGAATATTGCTGTCTGACAATATCAGGCTGTGGTTTTATTGCAGGAGGCTGTTTTAGACCCATTTTCACTCATTTTCTTTTTTGTCTTTACAATGAATATTTTCATTATTGACAATTACTTAGTCTCTAAAATGTTAGACGATAGTGAAAATGATTTTGTCCGACCAACAGTCGCAAACCCAAAGAGATTGAATTAACTTTTATAAAAAATCTACATGTTTCACTATAAAAACATTTATTTTTTTAAATTAAATAAAGTTTAAGACTTGATAAAACGTCCACATCTGTATTGAATAAGTGATCGGATTAATTTTATTTATCTGCAAATTTTGTAAAAATATTTTCATTTATAATGAAATTACGTTTTTAGGGTTAATGATGGCAAACCTTGAATTCGTCCAAATTTTAAAGACATTTCATTGTCTTGTACACAAACACATCCATGTACGTGTTTGAATCCCAGCTGAAGATCCTTCTGTATCTTTCCACCTTCATCGTCAAACACACTGCATGTTTAGTAAATACAGAGTTGAGGGAGGTGGACGGACAACTTTAGCCTCAAAGAATACCAACATTGCTTTGTACTGGATACCGACTGCTCACAGAAATCAGACTTCTATTGTTAATAGACTGAGTTTAACCTGAGAAAAATAAGTAAATGGTGTGTTGTAGCCTCTCATTTCACATGAAGGCCGGCTGTTAAATGGGGATTCAGGCAGTATCTCCTCAGAGAAAGTCATGGTGCAGCTTAGCTGTTATTTAAACAGGAAACGTGGTGAAGCTGGTTGTGTGACTGAAATGAAAGCTTGAGTGAGAAGTTCAAATCCTGCATACTACGTTATCTTGCAAATAACTGCATGAAGTGGGCTTGATTGTTGGACCCACCCTCCCCCGACGTGGAGGCAGAATGTTTCGTTTAAGTGATTCTGCCCCCTTTAAGCTTTTATTCAGTCTATTTTAGCATCATTCATTTGTGCCAGTTGGACTTTAAGGTACGTTGCTGGAAGCTGTTTGAAGTTTTTCTGTTTCTGTCCTTCATCAGAGAAATAATCACTTTCCTTTCACTGTGCGTTCTTTTTCACTGGCAGTGCAGATGAATAAGTAAATAATGATTAAATAAATGTAAATCCTGCCTCTTAAAGTATGTTCTCTTGTTCTTGCAGGTGGAAGCCCCGTTCATACCAAAGTGCAGAGGCCCAGGCGACACCAGCAACTTCGACGACTACGAGGAGGAGGAAGTCCGTGTTTCTGTAACGGAAAAATGCGGGAAGGAGTTTGCCGAGTTTTAGGATGCGAGAACATGGATATATCAGGGAAATAAGGGGATCTTTGCACTCTTCTAAAGACTTGGGATGGAGCAGAGACCATCGTTTTGCAGATCTACTACATAGTCCCTTCATAAGGCTGAATGAGGTCGCCACAATCCTTGGGTGCCGATAACCTCTCACTGTCACGTACACCTGCGTATTAAAGCAGACTCACCACTTTTTTCTTTTTTTCCTCTTTTTGTACCTACCCACCGTTCTTTATTTTTTTTTTACTTTGAAGCAGTTAGTCTTGGATGTTGTTATCCCCTTTTAAAAAAAATATGATATTTTTCAATTTATGAGGAAACACTGAGACTACGGCCAATAAGAGTCCACACATTGTAACTGACTCGTCTACGGCAGGTTGACACACACACACACACACACTCGTGTGCGCTGTAGGCTGCTCCCTCTAGACGTCAGCGATGTATATTTAATGATCTGTTACGAGTCCACGTCACATTGGCTGTTGTCAAATTCTGGCCAGCTTTCAGAGGTAGCATTCGTCCTATGTGCATATCTGTCCTTTTTTTAAGACATTTGAACACGTTGAGTTTTGAAAGCATGACCAAATAGAAAACTTTTGGTGACACAAGAAGAGAGGTCCTTTCCTTTCTTTGCTTTTTGCATAGAGAGCCAATTCCTCCCCCCCCCCCACACACACACACACAGACGCATCCATCCACTGTCTCCTTGGTATTCTGACCCAGGCACAGCAAGCAATCGCAGAAAATGACAAACCTTGTTACTTGTAAAATGCAAATCAAGTTGTTTGTTTGATCCTTTTGGATCTGTCAGTTACATGTTTGTCATTTGGTATCTTAACTATTCTTTTGTCGCTGTGTCTTAACATTATAGTCACATTGTCCCTAGATTTCAGGTCTGCTTATAAAGACCCTTTGTTATAGTGGTGTAACGGATCACGGATCGATCCGCGATCCGTTCGGATCAGCCCTCACGGTTCGGATCACGTGTGAACCGCGGATCAATTGAGCATTTTGTCTTCCCTGTAACTTATAATGACGGATGAGGGTGGTGGACAAATCTGTTATGGTATGTAGGCGTTATTTAAAGAGAAAGACGCACGATAACAGCAATACATCGGCATGTCCACACATATGAAGACACCATCCCGTCTGTCAGCGACGGGGGACACGCCGTTGTGGAAAACAAAGGATTTCAAAATCTGGTTAAAATGCTTGAGCCACGATATGAAATCCACTCACGCACCCACTTCAGTGTGAAGCTTGTTTAGGCCTCGATGAGAAGGAAAACACTGACTGCTTTCACCACGGCGGAGTGGAGATTTGTGCTGCAGACACGCCCCCTCTGTGACAGTCACACAGACACACACCTGGGGCAGGTGCTGACAGAAGTATCAGAGTGGAAGCTAGACACGCCCAATAATATTCCAGTCACCACAGAAAGGTCTACCCTCTCCCCAGACAATGTAGATATTCTCATCTTTTTGAAAATAATGTCACAGTAATGGTAAACTTTATTGTGTATTTGAATAACATAACCTGACAGGAAGTAAACATAGACCCAAGTTGTTGCCGAGCAGTTCAGTTCAGTTGAAACAGTGGAAGCTAGCTCACTGGCTGTTTCTTTATTTCAGTATTGATCAAAGGACGAGGGGATCAACATACCTCATGTTGCACTTAAACTTAACAGAATTGAGTATATTTGAATGATTTATTTTTTAATTTCATTTTGTTTCAAATTGGACATCTTCAATATTTTTTGTTTTTATGCAAGATTATAGCCCAAAGTTATTTTCTTTAAGTGTTCTTGAAGTTCTTTAATTAATAAATAGAAAGCAAAGTTATATTTGACTCATCCCCTTTTCTTTGTTGATCCGAAAAATGATCCGAACCGTGACTCAAGAACCATGATCTGAACCGAACCGTGAGGTTTGTGATCCGTTGCACCACTACTTTATGAGTCTGTGGAACAATGTGACTTCAGTAAATGCAAACGAGTGAAGTGAAGTCCTGTTGAGGATCTTTGTTGAGTGTAATGTTAAGACGAGAAGGTCGGTGTGAAAGCCGCAACATTGTCAGTAAAACCTTTTTTTTTTTTTTTTTTTTTTTTAAGTACATCATTTGTAATGTATTAAATCAAAGATGTTTTAAAATCCTAAGAAACAGGAACGCAAATCTGCATATTTACCGTATTCTCCCTGTTGCCGCCACCCCCCCAAAACAGATTTCTTTGTTTCATTCTTATCAAAGAATGTAGATTTGCAACTTATAGGTATGCATATTTGAAGGCTTGATTTCAAGGTACAATTTTCCTCACAATACACTGGCTAAAATAAAGACTGCTCCTTTGTATCACATGTAACCTTGTTATTGTTGAACTCATTACATCATACATTGTTTCATATATGTTTTTATTTATACACATTAGAGATGCTAATAAATTTTATTTTTAAAGGTGTTGACGTGTAACTCTCCGTGCATTGTGAGACTGACTATTTAACCACATAGAAGTACAGAATAGTTGATAAATGTGATAAAGACACAGACTGGTATTCATTTGATGCAGGGAAGTTGATCTTAATGTGTGGTCCAGGGATTTCCATTTATCATATTTTTCACAAGAGGAGGTTCAAAATTGTACCTCAGTGGACCAAAATATATTATAATTGTACATAAAGAGTTACATAAATACGACAACTTAATACATTCTTGTTTTCAGATCATTTTAAATTGATTTAATTGTATTTATTAATTACATTTATTATACAGAATAATAACTAAATGACATGCATTCCCATTTGTAACATATAATCCGAACGTATTACGTTTGGGCATTTTCTCTTTCCGTAGTCCTCCCAGTGAGTGGGTGTATGGGTAATGTAGTGCATTGGCAGACACGTGGGGTGTTGCGTTGCTGTTCACCCGAACGAAGTTTGCGGAAACATGGCGGGCCTGGAGCTGCTGTCGGACCAGGGATACCGTTTAGATGGAAGAAAAGCCTCCGAGCTGCGGAAGGTTCAGGCCCGCATGGGTGTGTTCGCTCAGGCCGACGGCTCCGCGTATTTAGAGCAGGGAAACACCAAAGCTCTGGCTGTGGTCTACGGTCCGCATGAAGTGAGTAGCGACGGATGGACGGGCGCGTTAGCTGACAGTAAACGGAAAAAAACACTTAAGTATAGTAGCGTTAAAGCAGAGCGGTCTTCATTAGCACCCAATGGGTAAATAATATACTGTGCATGTGTTAGAAGAGGGCTTGTTATTTGCATGTGTCCAAAGGAAATGTAGTTCAGAGTAAAAGCAGGTTATTGTTGTCTTGGACAGTCTGTTAACCCTTCCCATAATGCATTCATGCGTATTCATAATTTTTTTATTATTTATTTTATAACTACAAAATACACTCTCCTGCCATCTTTATTAGTACAATGTAGTACAACAGCTCAGCCAACTTATTGTACCTTTACGAAGTCTAGTTTAAACTTTCTGTGGAGGTGTTCTGAGGTCGTGGTGTTGGTGTTGTATTTGATACATTATGTTGAAATGTGTTTCTAATATCCCCCCTCATGGCAAATATGATTAATATCAACCAATATAAAGTAGTCCAGCGCAACACCTCTGCAAATCACTACCTCATTAATAGACATACAGTTAAATTAATACTTCTCTGACGGTGTCAATATAACCTGAACATTATTATCCTTGTCAGGGTAGAATATGACTGTGCACTTGTTTTGGATTGCATTACATTTCACAGGTGTACCTAATAAAGTGGCCACTGAGTGTCAGTCACAATGTGGTAGATGAAATCAAAATCCCATTTATAATGCTGAAATTTATATTTAACGCAATAAACTGTGTTCCAGTTCACTGTAATTAGCTTTAAATCATTAATTTGGGCATCAGAATTGTTTTAAAAGGTCTAACATGATATACTACGATTCCCCTAAAGCTGATTAATAATCATATTAAATCACCAATCAACTCCTAGATACGAGGTTCACGCAGCTGGATTCGTCACGATCGAGCTGTGATCAACTGTCAGTACAGCATGGCCACATTCAGCACAGCGGAGAGGAAGAGGAGGCCGCACGGGGACCGCAAGTCTACTGAGATGAGCCTCCACCTCAAGCAGACGTTTGAAGCCGCGGTGATGACCCAGCTCTACCCGCGCTCTCAAATAGACATCTATGTCAAGGTAAACGTTGAACAGTGAGGGGTGGATTGGTGGTGTTCGGGGTTATAGTGTTCCCCATCTTGGGCACAATATTAATAATGATACTCGTAATTCTTTCCACACAGATTCTGCAGTCAGACGGGGGGAACTACAGCGTGTGTGTGAATGCTGCCACTCTGGCGGTGATTGACGCCGGCATCCCCATGCGGGACTACGTGTGCGCATGCTCGGTCGGGTTCGTGGATGAGACGCCCCTCGCTGACCTTTGCTATGCAGAGGAAAGCGGAGGAGTGAGCTCGCTGGCCTTGGCGCTGCTGCCCCGGGGCGGGCAGATCGCTCTGCTGCAGATGGACGCCAGACTACATCAGGATCACTTAGATGCTCTCATCGAAGCCGCCATGACAGCTTGTAAAGGTGTGGGCAAGGTGCTGGATGAGGTGGTGCGACAGCATCTCAAAGAGGTTTCTGTGCTCTCTGGAGAGTGATGCATGGAGGAGGAACATCTAGACTGTGGTTTTGGTTGTAGACTGGAAAAGTGTTATTGGACAGAATGGAGAGGAAAGATGAGAGAATCTTGGAGTGAATGTTTTTTGTTTTTTTTTAAGAATTCATAGCATTTATACCTTTGTACAGTATATGTGTGAAGCTAACAATAAATTTGTCAACCCTGCATCATTTGTGTGTTGTTTGCTCATCTGTGATCTGTAAGGTATTTAGAGGTTCAATCTTCAACCTTAATGAGAGCCACCATTAACAACCTACAAAACATGAATACAACAAAAGATATGGAGTTATTCATGTTTTAGAGGCTGTTCAATGTGTGTGCACATTAGCTTTGTTTGTTAAAAGTAATACAACTGTATTTTAAGAATTCTTTTTTGAAATGCAAAATGCAGAGCTGACATCTGTAACTGAAAATCTGAAATGGTGTATGTAAAAAAACATTGTTAGAAAAAGCACGTATTTAGGCTTTCATGAACACAGAAACCAAATGGTTAAATGATTGGGTTTGTTCGTTTTTGTGGAATTAAGTATTTTTTTTTTGTTCACTATTTCTTGACCGGAAGTCAGTCCGCCGCAGTAATGTTCCCGCAGGAACAAGGAAATAGAAACACTTTTTGCAGCTGTTGCTCTAAAACAAGCCCCTCCTTTGCTTGTGGATGTGACCGGCTGTACGCTGGAAAGAGGTATGTCTTTATACTTACTATGGGAAATATTTAAACAAAAATCACCCACGTAACTGTTAATAATAACCACCTTTGTAGAGGAGAAACAGTGTAAAACATTTTACAATCTCGCGAAGCCGGCAAGGTAGCTGTAACACAGGTAGCTAGCAGTAAGCTAACCACAACTGTCAGATGCTCTGACAATGGGTGGCAGTAAATCAGCTGTATGGGAACACATATACTTACTTGGAATATATGTATTTTAAGTGTGTAGTTAATACGTAGTGTTACGGTGCGTGTGTTGCCTTCAGGGTCCAGTGTGTCCAGGCTTTACGTTACAACGGACAACAACATGGGACTGCTGTCTGACCCGAACAGGAGACGGGCTTTGATCAACCTGCTAACCCGCCTCAATGCCCCAATCTGGTGAGATTTGTGTCCAAACGAAATCTCAAATGCACCAGTTAAAGGAATGCAAATGCTCTTTATTACAATACCCAAATGTGCACATATACGCGTTTAACTAAATATGATTTCTGTATTTTAATTCTCTCCATCTTAGTGTGGTCTGCTACATGGCGGGCGTGGCCTGGTTCATGGGGTTAGCGTTTGAGCCGTTCACTCTGCGGACATACATGTCAGAGAACGCCATGGGGTCCACCATGGTGGAGGAGCGCTTTCCTGCGGGGGAGAGGGCGCTGGCCACGGGCAGAGAGTTCTCAGCCCATAAGAAGAAAACAGGGTAAGAAACACAATGAAGACGCAACATGAATGTAAAAGTCAGTTGATTTACTCTGATTTGCTCATGATGACTGGTTTTTAAGAGCATGGATCTGTGCCAAAGTCTGAGTCATCACACTATTAATCTGAACATGTGTGAGTCTTTTCACAGTTTGATAGGATTTTAAAAGTGTCCCAGTGTTCCTAGTTTTTGTTAAATTTAGCCTTTATGTAAGTCTAATTTTTGCCCATATCCCACCAGTCTAATGTGACCAGTTGTTTCTCTGCAGAGGGATGCCAGTGGACTGGCTGGTGAAGACCATGCAGTCTCAAGGGCTGGAGGTGTTTACCCAGAGGTTCTCTCGCAGGCTGCCCTTCCCTGATGAAGACAAAGAGAGATACGTAAGTCTGTGATTGTGTTTTTTGCTTTCAACAAGTGATTTACATGTTTTTATATTATTCCTCTGTATATTCCATGGTTCCCTCCTCTTCTCACTCCCTCCTCTCAGATGGTAAAAGGCACAAATGTGTATGGGATCCTTCGGGCCCCGAGAGCCTCGCGGACTGAAGCCCTGGTGCTGAGTGCCCCCTGCACCCCGGGCGATAGCAACAACCAGGCAGTGGGGCTGCTACTTGGCTTGGCACAGTATTTCAGGAGTGAGTAGAAAACCCTACCGCCTCCCCCCTCCACCGCTTGAAGGATATTGCTGTGGCCTTTATTGTTTTAATGACTGCTGTGTTCCTCAACAGATCAGGTTTACTGGGCCAAAGACATCATCTTCCTCGTGAATGAGCATGATCTGATTGGTATGCAGGCCTGGCTGGAGGGCTACCACCACACCAACTCTACGGGTAATCACCGGCATTCACCCAGTTACAAAACACATCAACAAACATCCCTGAAAGAATTCAATCCTTCCATACAAGTGACTGTGACTGTGTATCTAGGTATGGACTGGTCTCCACTTCAAGGCCGCGGGGGTTCGATCCAGGCAGCTCTGTCCCTGGAGCTCAGCAGTGATGTCGTCACCAGTTTGGACCTGGTCCTGGAAGGCCTCAACGGCCAGCTCCCCAACCTGGATCTCGCCAACCTCTTCTACGCCTTCTGTCAGAAGATCGGAGTCCTTTGCACCACCCAGGGCAAGGTGAAGGCTTGTGATGAGATGCAGTAGAAACCTGACACATTATCTGTTTGTTGAGCAGAACGGTCAGATAACTCCAGGTTGTCTCGGCTTTAACTTGTGTTTTCTCTTTGGTTGTGTCTATAGCTGCAGAGGAATGATTGGGACAGCGTGTCCGGCTACAGCCACGCAGTCCAGACCATGATGCTGATGGTGATGAAGCAGGCCAGTGGGCGGTCCTGGGGGGATCATGGCCTTTTCCTGCGATACCACATTGAGGCCGCCACCATCAAGGGCATCAACAGTTTCCGTCAGTACAAGACTGACGCCACCACCACTGGCAGGTTAGAACAAGTATTTATAATGTTTTTATTGTAGATCTTACCTTCAGAAGCTGACACTTACTGACTGGTTTCTTTTTTGTGTCTCTCTTAATATCCTCTAGGCTCCTGGAAGGAATGTATCGTAAGCTGAATAACCTCCTAGAGCGCCTGCACCAGTCCTACTTCTTCTACCTCATGCCGTCCCTCTCTCACTTTGTCTCCATTGGTTATTACATGCCAGCCTTCGGCCTCCTTGCCGTCATCCTGCTGCTTCGTGTATCCTTTCTCAATTAATTTACTCTGTATGATTTTTATCTAATAATACGACACAAATCAGCATGTGTGTAGACCCTGATTGCAGCCCAGTTATTAATGACGTATTGTTATTGATATTTGCTTGATTGTCATATTCACCCTTGACGATGATACAGGCCTTAGACCTGTGGGTTCAACTTGCGACTCCACCACCAAGAACAGAAGATGGAGTCGCTGACGCTGAGCAGGTCAGATAACAGAAATTAAGCTACCTACTGATCTTGAGTCCATTAAATCAGCACTTTAATTACATCCGCTTCCTCTCAGATCTCCAGTCCAGGAGTTCTGTCCGTGCTGACTCCCCTGGTGATCAGCCATCTGACCGGAGTAGCTCTCTACACCCTGCCCATCCATTTTCAGGAGGTGGCTGTGGAACACTTCCCGGTGTCTGAGACCGAGGCTGTGGTCCTGACAGCTATTGCCGTTTACACGGCAGGCCTGGCTTTGCCTCACAACACACACAGGTAGCTTCTTAACACCGACAACTCTGATTCAGATTCTTGACGTGTATATTTCTATTTGAGCTGTAGCCAGAGGCATTGTGTTTTTGGGTTGTCAATCAGTCAACACGACGTCTATCCGTCCCATTCTCTTGAACGCGATATCTCCGGAGGGTTTTTCTTTAAATTTGAAGAATTTTTATGCTAAATATGACAATTTCACACTAATATCTAATGGGATAAAATTAAATTGCTATGAATGCTTTTTTTGAGAGATCATACCACACAAATGTTGAAATCAAATATTAATATTTTAATTGTATTAACATTGTTGTATACATTGAGGAATCAATCTTTTGTGAACATGTGAGAACTGATTAAAATGCTTCACATTGTTCCTTTAAGTACACATTTTGTAACGTGTAGAGCTTACAGAGCACTGTGATACTCTTGTTCATTGAAGACTCCTGACGGGTCAGGGGACCGAGCAGGGCTGGAAAGTGCTGAAGCTGGTGGCTGTGCTGTACCTGGCTGTGCTGCTGGGTTGCACCGCGCTCATCAACTTCTCCCTGGGCTTCATCCTGGCTCTCACCCTGGTGCCCGTGGCGGCCTTCGTCACACCCCACGTACCAAAGTAACACACCTGCATGGACTCTTTGATCATTGCGGCTCTGTACCGCCATGTGTCGGTCAAATAACCTCACTGTCGTCTTCTCCTCCCCTCAGGGCTCTGTCAGCCTTCATCCTGGTCATCCTCAGCCCAGCCTGCACGCTCCTCTTTTCTGTCTTTTTGTTCCAAGAGTTGCAGGAGATGCCGGTCAGCTTCCTGGAGGGTTGGATGCTCTTCCTGTCAGTCATCTCTCAGGGCATCCTGGACCACGCCCTGTACGGCTCTCTGGTTTACCCGCTCATATCCCTGCTGGTCTATCCTTGCTGGCTGCTTTTCTGGAACATCCTCTTCTGGAAGTAAATTGCAAGTCTGAAGGCTTTCATAGGGAACAAAACCCTCTGAGGTTTGTCTCAGATTTGTCTTCACTCGCAGTGTAATATGAATGACGGTTAAATCCACTGGAGAGATTTGAAAAGAAGATGAATATCTATAGTTGACTTGGAACTCCCTTTCTTTGGCTGTTTTGTTGGTATTTCACTCTTAAAACCGTCGGGAAAACTCAGACTTTGCTCGATAAACGTGGACTGTTTTGTACTGAATATCTCACTTACAAATAATGAAGTGGACGAGGGGACGATCTTTTCACAAGTAGCTATAAATGTCATGGTTGGATTGCTTTTGGTAAAATAAGTTTTATGGATGTCTTGTGAATTTCTTTGTGGTACTTAAAGTAAATGCGTTGGGTTTCTTTTAGCTCTTTATTTTTCCAGGCAGGATGGTAATGAATGACAACAGCAGCTCGACCAACTGATAACATGAAACGGGAAACCCCTGTTGAAATGGAAGAAACTACCCGTTTGGTTGGTTGGTCGTCTGTACATCTACATCCTTTGAACACCACGTCACCGTATCTAATATTTTTATACTTGTTTTGATAACTTTCTTTGAAATGTTTATCTCATATTTATTAATGCCAAATTAAAAGATTGAAAAGAACTTAAACTGTAACTTCTGTACATTTTTTTAAAATACATATATATATATAATGCGTATGTTATACAACATACTATACTATGAGACATTTTAATAGCATACTATGCAATGGAATTTTCATTAAATGTTTGTCATACTGTACTATGACACTTTACATTTTTATTTTATGACTTTCATGACTACACTGACATGTTTGATATTTCATGTCCTGCTACACAACATACTATACTATGACATTCTAAAAGATGACTTAATTTCATAAGACAAACGATACGATGACTTATGAATTACAATATTTTACATGACCTGACATTTTTAGCACATTTTCATAACATACTCTGACTTTCATAGTTTTTGCAATATTTTACTATGACTTTTTTCAACATGCTATACTATGATTTTTTAAATAACCCCGTCTACATTATCATTTCTTTAGATTTAGAAAGTTCCCTCCAGAGCCACAGAACAGTATACGAGTGTATCCCAGACAGACTAACTTCAGCTATTAAATCCTTTTATCTGTGAACTAAAAACACAATTTGTCGATCAGTTACGAGATACATCAATTATCTCAGAAGAAAGACCAATACACAAACAGAATTTGTTAATTTCCATTATGTTTATTCGGCTGATGCAACTTTTTACAGTATTACTGAAAACAGATCATTCCATTGCTGTCACAGCTCACAGGGAATTCAGTAAAACTAGAGCAACTGGTAAAATGAACATTACTCAATGCATCTTGTTGAAAATAATACACTTAATACAATGTTATAAAAAAATAAAAGCACATGACAACCCTGTAAACGCAACCCCTTCTCTTTCTGTTAAAACCAACAAGCAAACAAACAGGGTATTGCACAAGGCTTCACCTTTCCTCTCGCTTCACAGTCGACAGAAACTCAAAGTAGAACGTTCGCTCAACTTCAGCTGCGAATGCAAAGAATTTCATCTCTCTCACCTAAAAATAAATATTAGGCCATCTGTGACGTTTGCACACACACACACGCATCCTGTAAAATAAATAACAGAGGTCTGGCCAAATTGAGATGTGTGTCATGGTCATGTTCATGTAACCGGTCAAAGCTGAAGCTCTCTGTCTGCAGTTCACCGTCTGAGCCTCGACCAGCAGCTCTGTCTCATGCTACAGTGCTTCAATCGCTCCAGCAGCCAGAGGACTCTCAGTGCACTCGACAGTCGTTATGGGAGTATTTTCTTGTTTGGCATCCTCACTCTGTGTCTGTGTGTGTGTGTGTGTGTGTGTGTGTGTTTGAGAGTGAGACATGGCGACCTGAAAGTGACGATGGACAGTCAGCTGCCGCTTGAACCGGATTCTCCTCGATCCTCTCTCCTTCCTTTCTCCTTTGTGAGAGAACATGAGACATAAAAAGAGGGAAAATGCAACACAGAGTAGAACAGAAAGACGATGATCGCTCGACGCGACGCAGTACCTGCTGGATGTGTGCGTCGGGTCTGGCTGTGGCACAGATTTCGCAGCCTGGACGGGACGGCTTGTTGATGAAAGTGCATGAGGGACAAGCCCACTCTGTCTGCTGAGAGGAGGAGAGTTGAAACTGATTCAAGAAGGAATAATTTGGCTAATTACACTATTTTAAATATTTACCCAAAATCAAACTAGCTTATGAATGCCTTTTCTTCATCTATGTCTATATTAGCATAGCTTAGCTTCATTTGATTCATCACAACGCACACAGATATCATAAAAAGGCACCCACGATTTGGTCCAAGTATGTCGGAGCAAAAGTAAAACTTCCACTAAAATCGAACTTTTTTTTACATTTGTGGCGACTGCTTCATTAACAGTGTATAGACTGCTGACATACCTGTGTTTTACTGGCTTTATTGGTATGATCATTCAGCTGCAGATTCTCAATGTCGAGGACATCTTTTATGTCCCCTGGTCTGTCGCTTCCTCCACCTGTGCTCCCTGAGGTTGACAAAAACAGTTAAAGAAACACGTTTATAGAGCTGTACATTCCTTAGTTTAAATGTAGTCAGGAAATATTTGGACAGTGACATTTTTATCTGGTGTTTCTACTGCACTTCAGGGTTAAAGTCACTGTTCAGGTCCAATTCAGATGAACAACATAGGAAGGCACTTTGACCTCTTATTAATAGTTTTAAATCCAAAGTGGGGTCACAAGACTGCCTACACTGTGACAGACAGGGGACGTTTTGTCCAACTCACCCTGGTTGTTGTGGGTTAGCCTCGAGGGCAGGGTGCTGTAACCCCTCCAGTCTTGGGAGGTGGGGCCGTTGAGCGGTGGGGCGAGGAGGGCGCTCTCCAGGTCCTGCTGGAACAGCTGGCGGGTGACGCGGGCTTGTCGGGCGGAGATCAGGTAGAGGTACGCCGTATCACCGTCCTTCTGCACCCCGTAGGAGGCCAGCGACCTCGGCTCGGTGCACAAGCACTGACCGATCACCCAGCGCTGCACGCGAGGATGGAAACCGTACTCGAGAAACACCTGGAGGACGAAGAGCGGGGGGAGTTAGTGAATGAAAACCTACGTCACCTGTCAAGTAATGAGTTAAAAGACTATGTTCTAACCTGTTGCTTGAGTGCAGCCACGGTCATGTAAGGAAAGACTTTCACTGTGACGCAACAGGACGACGAAACATCCTCCACTACCACAGATAAACTGCAACACAGACACGGCGCTATAAGTTGCAAAAACACAAAACCTGGAAGCAAGAACTCCTGAGCCCGACACTCCTCCCTCCTCACCTGAGCGCTCCCTCTGCGTAGCTCTTTTCAGACAGCTGAATGGCCAGCGCTGCTTTTTGCCGAGCCAGAGCCGACGCGTGCTGTGAAGCGGCCTGAGTGTCGCCGGCTTCAATCGCCCTGGCGAGCTCCAAGCACAGCTCCTCTAAAAAACAAAAAACAACAAACAAAGAACGGAAGTGTTGAAGAGTGACATTTTTAGAGCACACAGAGAAAGCGGTAAACAGATAAACCCACCAGTGAGCGGCAGCGAGGCTGAGCTCCACTGCTCCGTAGCTGCTGCTGCGTCGTCGTGTCTGCCGTCGGATTCACATGTGTTGATATTTGCAACTGTCAAGAGGAGAAACATACACGGTGTTTCAAAAGTGGTAAAAACAGGCTGCTGTCAACACGCTCCAGTATAAATAGATATCACATCAGGATCATCTGGACTACATTGACTGAAATATTCAATATAATCTGATGAAAAAACGACATTTGACACGAGACTAGACAAGACTAAAATAGAAAATAGCTGACAAAATAAAAACAGAACATTTTGACTAAATTAATCACTTTTCAGTCTAACAATCCGTTACATTTTCAACGTCTGTCCTTTTCAACAGAAAACGCATCTGGTCGTGAATAAAGCAGGTCGGGCAGTAAAGAAATCGTCAAACTGACCTCGATGCGCCTCTCTCAGGGAGGACATCACCACCGTGGCCCACTCCTCGGCCTCGCGATCGCAGCGGAAGTTGAAGCGGATGCAGTCGTGAGGCGGAGCAGCGAGACGCATCTCGTGGGAGCGAGGGGATTTGACCTCGTACTGCACCGAGCGCAGATCAAACTCTGCGATGAACTGAGAGGGAAAAACAGAAAGGAGTTCATCTCAAACGGCTCAGTTGTTAGGCATAAACAACTTCAATTAATAACTTTTACAAAAATAAAACACAGAAAACATTTGTTAAAAGTCAATTAATCCAAATTCAAAAGTTATAGTTGTTTGATTTTAAGTCCAGTGGGCTTTGGAGGGCTGCAACCATTTTCATTACTGTCTAATCTGCTCATTATTTTTTCAATTAATGGATTATTGTTTAGTCTTTATAATGTCTTAAGTCCAGGGTGACATTTTAAATGAATACTTTCATCAAACCAACAGTCAAAAATTCAAAAGATAATCAATTTACTAGCAAATCAATAGATATTCACATAATAAAGTATCAAATACGTGCATATTAGTTTCCTGTTTGTGGACTAATCCATTAATCATCTGATCATTTTGGCTCTAAAGCATGAAGGCAGCTTTCGGCATTTGCAATTACGACCTTTTCTTCAGCATCTATATCTATTAAATTTGTCATGAACACGGAAAACAGATAAAGTACAAAATGTGGGTGAAAACTGCACACTACACTTTGCAAGAGTATTAGCATGAGAAAAGGATATAATCCCCCGACAAATGAAAAACACATAACCTGCCCTCTAACGTTCACCGTGGCTCCATCAGGGCGCTGGAGTCTGTTGTGGGAAGAGAAAAGCAGCAAAGAGGGATTCTCCTCCTGCCAGAGAGTCTATTTATACTCCGATGTGATTGTGTGCGAACAGTCTGCCAGCTCAGACAGACGAGCTGAAAGAAGCTGGGATCAAAGTGAAAGTATGCAAATGAAGAAGTGTCTCAGTGTCGGGGGGGTTTCTGTCTGCTTTGAGATTCTACAAAGATGAAAAGCCCAAAACCGAAGCCCGTCAGATGTTTTTTTTAGGATCACGGCAGAATAACGTGTCAAAACAAAGCGAGTAAAGTTTGGAATTTGGGGAGACAGACAGAGTTCAATGTAAGGTCAACTTCACACACAATCAAGAACGCCCGTCTGCAGGGAATGCCCAGTAATCAACCCTAATACTGAGAGAGAAGAAGAACTTTCTTGTACTGAAATGTGTCTCAGTGGGGCTTGTTTTACCTCAGAGGGATAGTTCAGTGGGGTTGTATGAGGTACTTGAAGTATCACTACAGTAGATTGTGGTCGTCATGCCCCCAGTTTAGAGAAACAGACAGGAGGACCAGCACTGAAGCAAAGTACTGCTGTGTGTGTGTGCGCTGTATTTGGAATATTTTCAGTGCTTTACGTTGCAGTCAGAAGCCTTTTGACGGGGAACTGAAGCCACTACATCGTCCTCTTCAAAGCCACCAGACGTCTTTGACAAAAACAGTCCTTCTACCTCACAGAACACGGGCGTTGATGGTCGACCGCTGCCTCGATCCGTTAGTTTGTTTGTGTTTTAAAGGGTTAGTTCAGATTCACCAAAGTCACACAAGCAAACTAAACAAACATGGAACAGCAACGTTCATGTTCTGAAAGGTAAAAGTAATGTTTTTGTCAATGGAGTCCGGTGGCTTTGATGAGAGCATATAAATGTGATATTAAATTAATACAGATTTTATAAAGTGGGCCTTTTTTTAGGCGGCTAACATATGTTTTGCTGCTGACCCCGTCCACAGCCGTACATTGCTCTGCTTCCTTACTTCCCCAAAATATACGTATCGTTTTAAAAGATTTTTTGAGGGTCCTGGGCCGCAGCGGTAATCCTTCCAAATATGAAGTTTATCTGAGAAGCTTTAACCAGCAAATAGTTGGAATTTCTGCTTTAAAAAAAAAAAATGACAAAAAACTAAAGTTGACATTAAAATAGTAGCAGATCATTTTTCTGTGATTTGAATAATTGGCTCATGGTTTCCCCTCTGGAGACGTTACAGCAGACACCGTATGTGGTGAGAAGAATCCAGATACGACTCCATCATGTCAGATCAACCGACACATGCTTACTTTTGATAGTTATCGGTCATTTTGGTATTTAAAAAGGCTTTCCACCATTTTGACTGATGAGGATCAGTTTACCTGTCAAGAGGAGAACTACTCAACCTGGTAAACAGTTAAAGTCGGAGGAGCGCATCTGTCTCAGACGGAAACATTTTAACAGCTAGTCTGCGAATGAAGGGTAGAGTTTGAAAGACGTTTACTAGGAATTACAAGTTAGGATACTTCAGCCTCTGTTGCTTCAATGGTGACCACATAACAAAAAAAAACAATCTTTCTTTTGTGAGTCCCCGACTTTAAAGAGGTCCAATACTAAATTGTTTAAATGCCCCTTTAACAGGTAGGCCTACCACACTGGTGGCTCTAGAAGGCTTTAATGCTCTTTAAAGAGAAACTCGTTACTTTTCACAGATATTTACCACTCGCTGCAAATGAAATGTTAGGTCTGAGGGGGGTGCCAAAGGAATCGTGTGTTACATCAAGAGATGTCATCCTCTGAACAGAGGAAGTCTCAGCTCGTCAGACTCAGCTTTATGGTGTTATGCTTAAAAAGTAACTGAATTAAACATATTATCATATTTAATATATTGTAAAAACATCAATAATATTTTACGTAGTCATATCTTATTCATATTAATTTCATGTTCTCTGTAATATTGTGATATTTTAATATTATATCGGTGGAGGTGTCAAATAAGCCCAGTTGGCTTTTTGCCTCTTCCTGCTCTGTGATATTATTCATCTCTGTTATGTTTGTTTATTTTTATTTTATTGTTTAAATTGTGTAAAATAAAGAAATAAGCTAAACTAAACACATGTTAACATTGACATTTCTTAGGACCATTTCATGATTGAAAACAAACAAACTATTGTTTCAATCAGTCCTAATCTTACAAGGCCGATGCTGAGATAGAGTCGACCGTTTGGGAGTAATTTAAATAATGTTAACACCCTCTCTGGGTCCTGGAAGTTAAGCTATCAACACAACATAGTGAATCAGTGTTAATGACTCTGGTTGATAGAAATGTGTTTTCATACACTGTGACCAGAGTGTGTAGGTGAAGCATTAGATGTTGTCATTGGATCATTGGATGATAGAAATAATTTGAAGGGATCACAACAACACAAAGAGTGATACGTGTCATGACACTTGCTTTATAAGCTTGTCATGCTGCATGTGACCAATACAAGGCCTCACCTGTAAGAACATTCTCTGATGATGCTATGATTCTAATAAACCTGAATGTGTAGTAGTTATGGGAAGACCGAAAATGAAAGTGAAACTAAAAAAAGAAAACCCTCTTAACTACAGTATTGGTAACTAAAAACAATGTCTCCAACATACAATAGATCCTCAGAGTAGTTGGAGGAATGTATCGGATGGTGTGTGAATGAAATCTGGTGTGATTTTATCCCTAAATCTGAATCTGTGGAGCTGGATTGTAGTGATCCATAAAATGGCGTGTTCAGGCCTTTACTGGTATAAAATATGAATGTGACTCAGGAAGGTGGTTCATCATAAGCATATGTAAGCGGGTAACGACAGCACACCTTGTAAACAACACATGTGTACGTGTGAAATCTCACCACACTGCGGTTTCCGCTCGTGTCTCGCAGCGCCAGTCTGAACTCTCCGGCCCGGCTCGGGTCCATGCTGAGCTGGAGCCGCAGAGCCTCGCTGCCTGCCCCGGGGAGGCACAGGGGCCGGATCCCGGAATGGCACACCGAAACCCGGACTGACATTAAAACAGTACTGCAGCACGGAGTCAGCGCAGGCCCGCCGCCGCATGCAGCCTGTTGGGACGGGGCAGGGACCGGGGTCGGGGGAGCCCAGCCGCCGGAGCTGAGCGCCATGTCCGCGGACTCCAAAAGGCAGAGTGAGGATGTCTGAAGCCCCGCGGCAGGTGTTACTGCTGCCCCGCTGCTTCTGTTTGGTTCACCGGTGTCTGAAGAGAGCGCGTTTCTTCGTGGGCAGGCTGTCGTTGTCTCCTCGCCCCGCGAATTCTTCCATAGCTACCCGACCCGAATAGACCGGAGTGAAATAAAAACAAAACAGGAAGTGCAGCGGTACGTCTTTTATTTATGTCCGTGGAGAAACTTGGCCGTGAAACATCCGGACATAATAAAGCACTTCTCAAAAGGATATTAAAAAGTACAGTCGAGGAAATATAGTGTTTATATATTAATTTCAATTTAATTTTGTTTGTTTTTTGAACGGCAGAACAACAGAAGAAAACAGCTGTAGATTAAAATAACCACTAACTCTGTTTAAAAACCAGAATAATCATTTTTAATTATAATGAGGCTAAATTAGTTAATAAAATGACACATGAATGCCCTACAATTAATCTATTTTACAATGAAGGCCACCCTAAGACAGATATTATTATATTCCAATGAATACTTTGGACTACCATCTACACATATCCCATCTCCTGACTGGAAAGAGCATCAATTAACATATGATTTCAACAATTTCTATTCATTTTATTGTAATAACAAGAAAGACATTTCACTTTTCTGTGGTTCTTTGTCTAAGTTTGTGGTACAGTAACAAGTACTGTAGCCAGTTTCTGAAATAGGGGGAGAGGGATCCCTGAAAGACTCAATTGCAAAATTGAACTTGCAATTGTCACTAAAATGTCTTTTGAAAGCTTACTAATCCCCAGTATTCATTACTCCAGAAGCTGCCAGGCAGAACTGCAACAGCTTGCGCGACGCGAGCCTGTCTTCATGTGTGTGAGTGAATCTAATTGGTAATTTATTACCAACTAACTGTAATTTATTTATAGACATTTTGTGATCACCTGAGAGGAATGCATTGCAGTAATTGAGCTTAATGTAATAAATGGGGAAGTCTCAGAGAAGGTACTTGTAGCTTCAGCAGGTGTCACATACAGTCAGGACCAAGAGTAAACATATATGAGAAAGGCAAGGCAAGGCAAGTTTATTTGTATAACACATTTCAACAACAAGGCAATTCAAAGTGCTTCACATAAAACCATTAAAAGCATCAAAACATAAGGCAAAAGAAAAGCAGATTTAAAAATAATTAAGAACATTCATTGAAACATTAAAAACAGTCATTAAAACACTAAAAAGCAGTGTAAGAAATAAAATACAGTAGTAAAATGCAGAAATTGATTAATATTGTTGAATGTGGTTCAATTAAAGGCAGCAGCAAACAGAAAAGTCTTCAATCTTGATTTAAAGGAGCTGAGGGTCTCAGCAGACCTGCAGCTTTCTGGGACTTTGTTCCAGATATTTGGAGCAGAAAAACTGAATGCTGCTTCTCCATGTTTAGTTCTGACTCTGGGAACAGAAAGTAGACCGGTCCCAGACGACCTAAGGGGTCGGGATGGTTCATAAGGTAGCAGCAGATCAGAGATATATTTTGGCCCTATACCATTCAGTGCTTTATAAACCAACAGCAGGATTTTAAAGTCAATTCTTTGTTGGACAGGAAGCCAGTGCAAATACCTCAGAACTGGAGTGATGTGATCCACTTTCTTGGTCGTTGTGAGGACTCGATCTGCAGCGTTCTGAGAAAGTACGATTCAATTCCACACTGACAAGGCAGGTTGTCACTAATCTGCACTGACTGTTAATAAGACACCAACTGCCACATATCTTCCATGTGTATGTTTAACTAGAAATCCTGTCTACATGCAAATAATTAAACTTTCAGCAAGTACGGCGAGACACAGCTCAGCAAGACAGTCACTGGTCTGAGAGAAGTGCAGAAGAATTATCTAGAATGTCTGTCCTGCAGGAGATCAGTGTAAATGTGAAGAACATGAAGCAGTTACATGCATCCTTAGCCACACGAGCAAACCAGATCAAGGAAGAGCTCAGTCAGGTAAAGATATAAAAAGTTATTGACACATTTACAATATGGATTCAGGATTAAGCTTTCCAACCTGTGCTTGTGCTTTTAATTTACCTGTCCACAGGGAATGAGAAAGCCCTACAAAGAATTGATAGATGTCTGCATGGGCGACCCGCACAGAGCCGGTGTGAAGCCTCTGACATTTGTCCGACAGGTAATTCGTGACCTTCAAAGATCTGCAAACTGTATTAAAACTGCACGTGCAGGTTAATGCATCTTCTTTTGGCTAAAAGTCTCTGTCTTACTCTAATGCCTTCATGTTTTGCAGGTTCTTGCCGCATGTCTTTACCCTCAGCTTGTGGACAGCGACAAACTGCCAGTGGACGTCAGACAGAGGGCTCAGATGCTGCTTAAGGCATGTGCTGGAGGGAGCGTCGGTAAGAGCAGTGTATGTGGTATTAAAATGAAAATGTATAAGAGTCAGCTCACTGAAATTACAAAAGAACAAACAAACACAACTCAGTGTCTACTGCCATGCTAATTGTATTTAGTGTGATATTTAAATCTTTTGAAAACGACAAACAAAATTCAATTCACATTTGTGGTAATAAAGTGGCGGCAGTAATCTTAGACACAGACATGTTAAAGTCGGGCAAATGAAGGCAAAACTGTCTGCAGACCATCATATGTATGTAAGTGAGTTTTTCTTTTTGCAATTTGGATAGATTCAAGTTATGATTTTTTTTGTTGTTTTCCTTTTTTGGCTTACATTTAAGCGAAGTTGATTTAAGTTAATTGAATAAAAATTCTAACATTTGATTGTTTCAGTTTCTCAAATGAGAGAATATGTTGCTCCGTTTGGTTTTATATCATTTGGTGTTTTGAATTGTTGGTCGAAATAAAACAAAAAAAAGTTATTTGAAAATGTTTTAGGTTATATTGATCTTCATTCTTTATTGTTCACTGATTCTTTACTGACCAAAAATTAATTGATTTTGAAAATAATCGTTAGTTGCAGCCAGTTAAGACATTACATATATAAGAAGTGGAAATAACCATGACAATACTTAAGACTACTGTATATAAATGCATTGAGAAAATATTTGTGCAACTCCAGCAGTGATGTGTGTCGCCTACTCTACATACTATAAGCGTAGATGTATAAGTATAAATATGATTACTGAATACAATACAAATACAAATGTATGGTATGTCTAAAGAAATACTGTAAACACACAGTATATGTAATATTCCCACTCTATAAAATACTATGAACTATATGTAATAGAAATAGAAAACATGGTATGATATAGCTTATAATATAGAGATAAAAAAACTAAAATACTACAATAATAATATGCTGCTCTACAGTGTCACCTCAGCTGTCCTGTGTTACTTCTTCAGGTTCTTACACTGCCACAGGGGGTATTTCACAAATAGTTCACAGAATCTCCGAATTCATAACGAGACGAGACGGCAGTGCTCCATCTTACCCTGAAAACATTTACATCAGCCCCGGCTCACAGTGGGCACTCATGGTAACAATCATTATCACGGACATGTTGTAATATTATGTACTGTCTCCTCCTCGTCTTCGAGTTAACATTAACATCTTCTCCTGTGCTTATTAGAATATTCTCAACGTCTTGGTGAACAGCAAGGCTTCACCCAGAACAGGTGTGCTGACTCCGATGCCGTGCTACTCCACTTCCAATCTGTCCATGATCGGGCTGGGGGCAGTTGTTGTTCCCTACAGCCTTCATGAGGAGCAGGGCTGGGAGCTGCAGGTGGAGGAGCTGCACCAAGCGCTGAAATCTGCAAAGGGAGTCTGCAAGCCTGTAGCTCTGTATGTCATCAACCCTGGGAATCCCACGGGTAGTAAAGCCTCATTAAACATGACAAAGTATATTTTTGGTGTTTTAAAGAATATGTATCACATGATTGTGTTTTTCTGCCACGTTGCCTGTAGGTCATGTTCAAAGCAGGAAATCAATGCAAGAGGTGATCCGGTTCGCTTCAGAGAAGAGGCTCTTCCTTCTGGCTGATGAGGTGGACGTCTTAAAGCATCCTCTATCCAGAGAAATTCATAAACATTGTGTAAATAAACATTTGAATATTCTGTGTGTTCATCTGCACAGGTCTACCAGGACTGTGTTTATGGGGGAAAAAGTGAGTTTGTCTCTTACAAGAGGGTTCTGTCAGAGATGGGTCCTCCTCTTTCAGACACAGTGGAGCTGGCCTCCTTCCACTCAGCATCCAAAGGCTTCATGGGAGAGTACGTCAGTCCTGATGAGTCGCTGAAGTTGTGCTCGGTGGTCCTCACAAAAGTCGCAGAAATGCAATTTAAGACAAAGGCCTAGTTGTAATTTATAGAAAGTTAATTCAAGACCTTGGAAACAGTAGCTGGCAAAATAATCTCACCTCAAGATTGACGAGACAATAAGTCCTTAAAAGGGTCGTATTTTTCCTTTTAGCTGCAGTGCTATTTATCAATCTAGATGGGTTTGGTGTGAGAGTCCTAGTGTTGGAGATACCGACCATCTCTCCAATATAATGGGACAAAAAGCACCAAAAAATACTTTTGAAAAACTCAACAGCAATGTCTCTTTCCAGAAGTCATGACCTGGTTACTCAAGATAATCCACAGATCTTGTCGTGAGAGTTTCCAAATGTATTTTTGACCCTTTGAGCACCGCGAGCCAAGTGTCATAGAGTCCCATTATGTCGGAGAGGAGGCCGTCATCTCTACGGCCGATATCTCCAAAACTAGGCAACTCGCATCAAAACAATCTAGATTGATAAATAGCACAACAGGTGAGTAAGACATTTTTTTATTTTAGGGTGGACTGTCCCTTTAAAGTGCCTCAAAAATGGAAACTTTGAGATCTACAAAAAAGATTTGACTGAGATCTCCAGAACTACTAATTGGACTCCTCTCTCCCACCAGGTGTGGTCTGCGTGGTGGCTACGTGGAGCTGGTGAATCTGGACCCCGTGGTCATGAAATACATCTACAAACTGTTCTCAAAGGACAGTTGTGCACCTGTGTTGGGTCAGTTTGCCCTGGATCTGTTGACGAACCCTCCACAACCAGGAGATCCCTCGTACCCACTTTACAGTGAGGTGAGACCAGAGATGAGCAGTTCAGATTACTATTTCGCAGGATGTCTAATAGCCTGAAATTCAATAATACTTGAGCCCTTGGTTTGACATTTCTTTTGTTGTTGCCTTTAACTTCTGCAGGAGACACAACACATCCGGACCACGCTGGCTCATAATGTAAAGAGAGTCTTTGAGGTCGTCAACAGTCTGCCGGGGATCCGCTGCCAGCCGGTGGAAGGAGGAGCATTCGGGTTCCCCAGACTGCACCTTCCACCTAAAGCCATTCAGAAGGCCAAGGTTACAATACTCTCTGATCGAACCAAGTGCACACTGCAAGATCAGAGCAATATCATCATTAAAACCAATTTGTCACATATCTGAGGTAGCACTTCTAAAATATCTTACACCTTTGGTTATTTTAGGAAATGGGAATGCAACCAGATGTGTTCTACTGCATCAAACTACTGGAAGAGGCCGGTGTGTTCGTCGGTCCTGGTTGTGAATATGAGCCAAAGGAAGGCACCTACCACTTCAGGTACATCATGTAAACCAAGCATTGTTATCCTGAATGAAAACAACCTTAAAGCCTCCTTTCTTTCTGCAGGATCTGCATTATAGTCCCTGAAGACGTTATGGAAGAACTGCTGAGGCGCCTGAGCAGCTTTCACACACAGTTTATGAAAGATTTTTCTTAAACGGGCGACAGTGGCTAAGTGGTGAGCAGTGCCGTCCTTCAATCAGGGGATCGGCAGTTCGATCCCCGACTCCGGCATGTCGATGTGTCCTTGAGCAAGACACTTAACCCCAAAATTGCTCCCATAGCTGTGCCTACGGTGTGATAGAATCTGAATTCTAAGTTGCTTTGGATAAAAGCATCTGCTAAATGACTAATGTAAAGGTTAATATGCAACGATTTCTTAACGTACGATGTATAATCCCTCTCAATCATCACTTATGGTCCACTACAATGGTCCACCGCTGTTTGTATCTACAGAGACTCTGCCTGTATTCTTTTCTTCTTCTGCTGTGTTCCGGACGTTTCGGTAAACACTAGAGTTATTTTCTGTTCTCATTATCTGCAGCTCAATAATTCATTCAAACAATAAAAGAGATCTGATCATTTCTCTCATGTTGGCATTTTAATATTTATTGCAATAAATACGACACCATTTATTGCATGCAGTCCGTTTTAATGACCTTTAGCCAATGATCTGAGAGTTCTGGGTAAAATTCAACTTCTGCTTTTCAGAAAGCAAATACAAATGCAGTAAACCACAGTCCAAACCAATGGATTTCCTCACACCATATAGGAGTTTATGATTTACCTTAACAGTAACTGTAGCAGACAACAGTCCACTCTGGGTTTCTGCTCTTCAAGTCAAGTATTGACTAAGTACTCAAGTTCTTCCTTTAAAGAAAACAACATATAAATGGGACACCATCAACCTCTTTGGTTTGTCTGTATCAGCCAGCGGGTACAAGGTGCTCAGCGTCATCAATCCACCTCGCTGTCACTGTCGTGGCTCTGAGCCGAAGAGTCAGAGTCTGTATTGTTGAGCAGCTCCACGAGTAAGGCGATGAGCTTTCCGTCTTGAGAGGAGTTGGTGATTGCGTTGCTGGGATTGTTGAGGTTGCGGTACAGCATGGTCTGAATGGAAGTGCGTAGCTCCCACAGCAGCTCCCAGGTCTTAGTTGACAACTCGCAGCGCACCAGAGAGCGTCCAGGAAATGACACTTCCACTCGGTCTCCCTTCACTGGGGCATGAGAGAGAGTTATTCATGAAGAGACGAGCATTTACTGGAAATCTAAGAGGGTGATAACATTCAAAGGGTCCAGAGTGTACGATTCAGGGGGAACTATTAGCGGTAACATGGCACTACTAATAAGCGTCTGACATGTTGCAAAATGATCTTTTAAATTGACAAACATGCGTTTTAATTCATTTCTGAATTGGACCAGGATCAAGAAATTATTTGTCTCTCTACCATTGACTTATTTTCCTGAAATAGGGTCCAATGGTGGTCTACCGGAAGGGGCCGGACTTTGCCTCTCTATTAAAGCTCTGTCAATAGACAGCAGTACGTGTCCTACCTGTCTCTGTGATATCACAGTCTGTGAGCAGCAGCAGGGCGAGTGGATGGACTGTAGAAGAGTCTCTGATGAAAACGTTCCCGTTGGACTGGATAGCGCTGAAAAAGGTCAACCAGCGACTCGGGAGCTCTTCTTTTCCCCTACAAAACAAAAGAAGACAATAAGTTAAACACGCAGAACGAAAGTCACAACAAACTGCTGTAGTTGAATTTTGGAGCGTTTTCAGACCTGTTGACTGAGGCGCGGTGAAGCACCACCGGCCCATTGTGTGTGCGGAAACACATGCTTTTGGGGCGAAAGCGTCCTCCTTTGGTCACAAGTCCTTTCTTCACCTGAGGAGAAAGAGAGAAAAAAAAAAAAGGAAGTTGTTTTTCATCCTGGATGCTGGAACGTATAATGTTGGCTTTGACCCCGACAGCTGCAAGAAGGTTTTAGAAAGACAACCGTAGCAAAAAATGGATCAATTTATAAACAACTTCAGCACAGAAATAGACAATTAAAGACAAACCTTCATCCTTACAGTAAGAGCTCATATTTAAATCTCACAATGTTGCTTTATCCTTTGATGGCGCAGAGCAGAAGAACAGACTGGTCTGTTGCCACACGTACCTGAATGAGGTTGGGATAGAGTCCGGCCAGCAGCACAGCTTTAAGCAGCTCGTCCTGGTTGCTGTGCTCGTTGTAGAGAGAATTGGAACGCTGGCACTCGCTGGCACGAGTCACCAGCTCGGCTTCATTCAGGTTGTCGCCGAACTGAGAGATGAGACCTGCAGCACGACGGCACAAGAACAGAAACAGTTTTGTGAAAAGTAAAAAAACAACAGGTAAGAAGAAGTGATTTAAGATGCAGACAATGTACGACGGAAATGACCGTGTGCGCTTCAAACTAACCATTGATGAATCGAAGGCTGAACCTGGACAAAGTGTGTTTGTAGAGATACTCATCCCGGTCCTCCCGGTCCCCCTCATGCTGAAGTCTCCTCCAGCCCAGCACAGCTCGAATAAACACCAGATAGTCGCTGTAGCTGGAGCGGCTCAGATTCCCTTTCACCTGGACAAACAGAATCCAGACGACTGAATGGTACCGAACTCTAATTCATTACACTTTGTGCTGTTTTCCCAAAGTCAGATCTGTTCTTTTAAAACCATGCTGGGCGTTAAAACATCTCACCTTGTTGACGAGGGCTCTGTTCTGGAGGCTGTTGTAGAAAGGGTCTCTGGTCAGACAGGCCGCCACAGACAGCATGGGCAGAACACATCTGAACATGGCACTGAGGACCAGCACTTTGCCCAGACGAGGGTCACACGACATGCAGGAGACACGCTCTCCTAAAGGCGTCAGGGTTTCTGTCTTGTCCAAGACTCCTACAGTGAAAACATTGACAGCATAGACATGCCAATTTAGACACACACACACACACACACACACACACACACACATACACACACCCACACACACACACACACACACACACACACACACACACACACCATGGTTTAACATCTCACCATGCAATCCAGGACATCACTCACCAATGTCTTGTAGATTTCGGACAGCCTCGCTCACAGCTTCTCGCTCTGGACTGTCCAACACTTGGGATAAGAAATCTACAGCCTCCACACACACACACACACACATCATTAAAACACAAAATAACAGATTAAAAAAAATACATAAAAGCCATTGTTGTTGTTGTTTCAGTACCTTGCAGTTAGGACTGTGGATTTTGGCTTGCACGACTAAACTCTCCAGCGGCGTGCGCAGGATCTCGGGGATGGGGAAGGGAGTCATGGACTCCAGCTGCTGTCGAGGGAACAGGTGGTAGGACTGTCCCGGCTGACATCGCCCTGCTCTCCCCTTTCTTTGAGTGACATTAGAATGAGATATCCAAACTGTGTCCAGACAGGAGACCTGGAAAAAAAAAAAAAGAAACAGATTGGACTATTCTCGCAGAGCTTAGACTTTGCAGATGTTAAAACGGTTTACATTGAAACGTTCGATACTGACCTTAGTCCGTGGGTCATAATTGTGTTCTTTGTGAGTTCCTGCATCCACCACGTGGACGATGTCATCTATGGTGATGGAGGTCTCTGCAATGTTAGTGGCGAGGACGATCTTCCTCTGGCCCACTTGGGGGCGCTGGAACACCGCCTGCTGGTCTGACACTGATAAACTGGAATGCACTAAAAGAAAACGGGTAAATTAAGTGATAAATCTCTACACTTGGAGGACAAAAGACCAGTCTTTGTGCATCTGTCGGCGCTCTCTTACATGGTAAGATCATCTGTGAGCCGGAGGAAAAGTGTGGCCTCCCCTCCAGTTTCTCTTGAACAGCCCTGATGTCCTGCCATCCAGGGAGGAAACACAACACCGCACCTGAAGCATGAAGGGATTTCAAGTTAGGGTCAAAACGGGCTTCTTATATGAGACAGTCACACTTGGAGTTAACAAACGTATAGATCCCTTGCTGTTGGTTAGATAAGTTACTGCTAGTCTCTGAACATGTTAAGCTACATATTTAGATCACTCTTTCCAGAATGAGTCAGAAAAAGATGAGTCTGTTGGTTACCTGGCTCTCCACATCTGTCAATATGCTCGATTACATCAGCTACTAAATCCGCATCTGGCGTGACATCTTCTCTTCCTCCCTTAAACAAGATAAAATACAAAGTCATGAGAACACAAGACAAGAGAAAAGAAACTGTACACACTAAAGTGGAGACACTTTACAGACTCCAGTCTCACCCGCTTGTCTGTCTCCACTCTCTTTTGTGCTGGCAGCGGGCGTCCCATCTCACTCAGCACGTCCTCCAGGTATTTTTCCTTCACCGGGTGCATGAATCCGGGCACTTTAACAATTGGGCAGCCCCCAAAGTACTCGGACAGCCTCTGCTTGTCCCCGGTGGCGCTCATAAGCACCACTCGTAGGTCGGGGTTCTCCTTTAGGCTGGAGCGCAGCAGGGCCAGCAGCAGGTCCGTGTTGATGTCCCTCTCGTGGACCTCGTCCACCACCACGTGGCTGATTCCCTTCAGGGACGGGTTGGACTGCAGCTTCCTCAGCAGGACGCCCACTGTGAGGAAGAGCAAGGCTCCTCCGCTGCGCTCTGGTGGTCGGCTCTCGAGTCTCACCTACGCAACAGGAAAGTATTACTTCTTTACAAACAGATTCATTTACTAATGTGAATAACCTTAATATCGATGGTATAACAAAGGAAGGAACAAGCTCTACTAGTTGAACTGCTCCCTCTAGAGAGGCTAAAGCTGATTGTAAACTATAAACTTGTGTCTACCTGATATCCCACAGAGGATTTCAGAGCTGGACCCATCTCATGAGCAACACGTTGGGCCACGGACACGGCGCTGATCCGGCGAGGCTGGGTCACCAGGATGTTGCACGTGGCCCCCTCGCCACCTCTCACAGACCCCTCCAGCAGGAAGCGAGGGATGCGGGTCGTCTTCCCACATCCCGTCTCACCAGCGATCACAACCACCCGGGACGACTGCACCTCGGAGATCACGCGCTGACGGTGGGCATCGACCGGGAGCTCCACACTCAGCCCGGGGCTCACCCTCTCCCACTCCTCCTGCAGGTGGGCGCTGAGCTGCCGAGCCTCGTGTTCGGAAAGATGTCTGTACGGCCGGCCTGTGATGGCGTCCGTCAGGTTCTCCTCTTCCTCCTCATCCTCCTGGTTCACCGCCTGCTGTCCTCTGGCCTCTTCTTCCTCCCAAAGCTTCTGTACCTCTGTTGCCACTGGGTACTTTTATAAAAAGATGAGGCATTATTTTTTACATAGCATTAATACATCACGGCCAAAAGGCATGTGAACCCTCAAACATTACAAAAACATGGGCATAGCTTCTATAGCAGGCTTTTGGAACCTGGCTCCAGAGAATTGAGCCACAAGAACATTAGGTGCTGATGCTGGAGGACATTTTTTATCATTAAAAGCATATTTAAAGGCTGCAAAATTGCAATCTGTTATCTCCGTTTTAAAGTATAGGCTACTGGGCTATTAACCTTTAAAGAACCAGACTCCCTTTTGTCCATGTAGTGCCGATACACACGTGATAAGAAAATACCCGTCTTTTTCACGTGAGGTGAAGACTGACCTGTGCGAGGTACTCTCTCATGTGCTCCTCCAGGTATTCTGGGACTTCCACAGGGAGGGGGCGTCTCTCTCGCTCTCCCGCCTCCCTCACCTTCTGTCGGTGGTACTTGGCGTGAGTCAGCGGGTTGTTGTCTTTATCCAGCAGCTCCAGCTCCTGGAACCCAGGTGACACGATGCAATGTCTTTAACACGGCTCTAAACACATAGGTGAAGGTATAGTCGTTTTCCCAAAAAATAGTCCTCACCTTCAGTTTCATGCAGGCCAGAGCTGCAGCCGTCCTCTCTGCCAGCACTCGGTTTCTCGCCGTGGCGGAGAACGTCATCTCCTCTGGCCAGTGCAGCGTCAGGTCACACTTCTTCAGCTTTCCTCCTGTTATTTTGAACTGAATTATCTCCTGTTAGAGGACAGAGAATGACAGACGGTTTAGAATACACGAGTTAAGAGCTTCGCTTTCATTGTGCAATGGACGGGAGCTACCAACCCTGATTCTGTTGGATGACGTGGCCACCTGGATGACCCTGGTGAGGAGAGATTTAGGTTGTGGAAACAGGGAAAGAGCTTCAGAGATGGTGGGGGGGTCTTCTTTGGGGGGAAGCCATTGTTCCGGGTCATCTGCTTTCGCTTTAGGCACAAGGACATTTTCTGTCAACGACTCTTCCTCGTTATCATACAGTTGAGATTGTAGCCCTCCACTTCCCCTGCCAGCTCCCCTCTTTGGGAGCTGATTATTTTGGCCAATGACACCCATTTCCTGTGCACAAAGAGAGAGGAAGGGGTCAAATACCACTACAGGCTGGTAAGACAACATGGTAATGTGTGTCTGCTTGTTACAGTCGTACTCTGAGCTTGAAACAAGCAGCAGCTGCAGCAAATCGCTCTGCATCGATCTTCTTGGAGGCGAAACCTTCCTCTTCGATCTTGCAGGGCCACAGCAGAGTGACAGTGGCTTTCTACAGAAACAAAAGTCACAGTACAAAGCTTAAATATGTGAACCATTAGCTGGATGTGTCGTCCATCTCATAATGCTGTTCTGACCTTAACACCAGCACTGTCCGTGCAGCTGTACTGGATGAGCTGGGACAGGTCGTTGACTCCCAGTGACCGGGAGATGGTGTTATTCAAGAGACCTTTAGGATCTGGAAACTCCTTCAGGAGGTTTGGGCTCAAGTTATCTAACCAGGTAAAAAAACACACATAGTGAGGTTAACGGTATCTTATGTCCACTTTAAACTCAGTTTAACTGGAAGGAAAAGACACAGAAACATGAGCATTAACGTGGTGTTTATACACGATGAATGTCCTTGAGGTTCATCTCTGCTGCGAGCTGTCACCTGTTAGCTAACCGCTAACTCTGCGCTCACCTCGTTTGGTCTGTAAATACGGTGTCCCGCTTTCCTCAAAGCTTCGCGCTTTTGTGCTGTACCACCGCATCTCTCTGCTCCAGTTGGACGCAGTTTGGCCTCCTGTAGGAACACATTTGGAAACATTATACAACGCTCTGAGTCGCACGAGTAAAACACCGGGTTGCGCCATCTTTAAACTACAATTCGTACTTCTGCATTCGTACTTCTGCGCAGCGCGCGGAAGAAGACACCGGCGATCACAGCGACACCTTGTGGTGAGGAGGGGGAATTGTTTTAGTTATTTATTCATCTTCTCATGGGTGTACAAGAAAGCACGACTGAAAGTAATCCCTTTAATTCAAACTGGTTTCAACTGGTTTCATGAATTAACAGTTTAATTCATTTACATATGGATTTCGCCTTCATTTACACAATAATATGGAATATTTGTCCAGTTCCTTAATTGTCAAGTTATGCTTCTTTAAGCTGTAGTAATTTATTCATTAAGTTCTCGAAAGAAAAAGAAAACACCTTAAAAACGGAAACCCTTAATAGCCAAGTTAAAGTATTCGGGTCCATGACTTATTGTTTAATTTTACACATTAATTTGACATATCTGACAAATCCCCCAATTATTGATTTACGGTTTTATTGACTCTTTATTCATATATTTATTAAGTTCTCATGGAATAACCCAAACCCCTTAAAACACTTTAGTTCTTGATTAGCAAGTTAAGTAGATTTTAAAGGTATTTGTCAGTCTTATCATTCTTTTACGCTGAATCAATATTTTTACGAAGGGCAAAAAACAAACCCCTTAAATTGTCTTAATTGACATTTGAGATTGAGAGATCTTGTAAACAGCAAAACCAAATTGCTTTAACCGTCATTACAAAACCCACTTAAGTTGCACATTTATATATTTCTTAAATTAGTGCTGTTATAATAGATAACGTAGTTCATCCTGCCTAAAAACCCGGACACATAGAAACTATTATTTATTATTATTTGGGGCCCTGTGTAAGAATAAAACACTAACTCTATTTTGGTAAAATAATCTTAAAATGTGGTGGTGCCACCAGCTTTGGATCAAGCTTTCAATTTGTGTATTGCTTTGTATTATTGGGATGTCTCAATTTGCACAACTAAACAGTGTAATTTCCAGCTGTTATCTGACTACACAACGGTTTAACCACCTGGGAATGTTGAGGAAAACTCCCAGGTTGAGTCTGGTGTCTGGACTGCTGCCCATAAATAGCTCTGCATGATAAAAACCAGTTATTTGGACGAATAAGAGATGGAAGTAATACTTGTCCTCCTCGTGGTTGTTACAGCTGGTGAGTTCGCATTGAACACATTCATTTACTGTTGGGAATAAATGCATGGTGTGAATACGTAATCTCACTGTGTCTCCCTGTCTTAAAGTGTCTGGGTGTGGTGAACCCAGCTACCAGCCCAGCACCAGCCGGGTGGTGAACGGGGAAGAGGCCCGTCCCTACAGCTGGCCATGGCAGGTTTCTCTGGAGTCGTTCTTCCCCACGTGTGGAGGAACGCTTATTGCTCCTAACTGGGTCCTGACTGCTGCACACTGCATCACGTGATGAAACGTTTAGTTGTGTCATTTACATCTCTGATAAACAATTGTTTTCAAATTAAAATAAAAGGCTTTTCATCAACCAGGTATTTACTTTAAAACTTTTAAGAACTTTAAATATTTTCCGATCCAGATTCCACACCTACAGGGTTGTTCTTGCTGAGCACGACATCAACAAGGAGGAGGGACCTGAACAGTTCATTATGGTGGCAAACATGTTCATCCATCCCAAATGGAACGACAACTGTGTGTCTTGTGGGTAAGTCATCATCATCACTTCTCAACATAAACACTCCAGCGCTCCAGATCTGTAGTGAATTATTAAGAAACACAGTAAACATGTCCGTACACTGTTTGGTGAACAGCAGCTGAGTAAATAAAAGTTTTCTGTAACTCTTCATATTACGGTCCTTGTGATAAGCCTTAGTCAAAAGGTAACAAGTCCTTAGAAGATGCTTATTAACATTATTATATGTTATAAGACTATATAAGTGGCAACATAAAGACGGTAATTGTTGGATTATAAGACATTTATAAGTACTCAAGAAACTGAAGAATGTTCATAAAAGCATTTTAAGTTCCATATAATTGTTTATAAAAACATATTCATTGACTGTAAATAACTTACTTGTTATGTTAAAACTTTACTAAGCTTTTTTGTTGTTTTATTAAATTTGATAAATACTTCATTATGTATTTATTAACAGTCACCTATATGCTTTTTGCAGCTACAAGAACAATGCCTCATTGGGGTCAATAAATCCGTTATTATGCACTTATTAATAGTTAAATAAGCTTTTTGTTATAAATGTCTTACCTAACAACAGACATGTTTATTATGCTATTATTAACCTCTATAGTCTTATTAACACCTTATAATGTTAATAAGCATCTAAGGGTCTTATTACCTTAACTACTGCTTTTTACAAGGAGCTTAATACAAAGTGTTACCAAGTTTTCTAAATTAATTCGCCAACAAACACTTTACAGTTAAATAGACTCTGAGCAATGAAAATGTACCGACATGTTTAATTATTTGTGCTTCATCCTGTTATAGCAATGACATCGCCCTGCTTAAACTGGAGACAAACGCTGTCATCAATGACAAAGTTCAGCCGGCCTGCCTGCCTCAGCACGGCGCTGCGCTTGCCCACAACCAGCCCTGTTATGTCACAGGCTGGGGTCGGCTCTACTGTAAGACCTGAAGTCTGCTAACCCCCAGCTCATGTGGAGTTAAAGTGCACTATACCGTGTAAATCTAATTTATTTTTACTCAAACGTTCAGCTGTTAACATGTCATTGTCTCTGCAGCTGGTGGTCCTCGGGCGACTACACTGCAGCAGGCCCTACTTCCTGTGGTGGATCACACTACCTGCAGTCAGAGTGACTGGTGGGGCAGCTCGGCAAAGACAACCATTGTCTGTGCAGGAGGAGAGAGCAAGTCAGCATGCGACGTGAGGAACAACCACGCAAGCTTTGTGAGAAACAAACGACACCATGTTCAGTTTACTCCAATATCTGCTGTGATCTTCCAGGGCGACTCCGGAGGTCCTCTGAACTGTGAGGGCAGCGACGGTAAGTGGTATGTGGAAGGTTTGACTAGTTTTGTGGACGGACGGGGCTGTAACACCCCACAGAGGCCCACAGTCTTCACCCGAGTGGCCACTTTCATCCCCTGGATCAGTGAGGTGAGGGAAGCCACGTGAATGGCAACCATATAATAAATATATGCTGTTTGTAAAATGTACAAACTTAATCTTGTTCTATTTTTCAGACCATGGCCCAAAACTGAAGAAGTTTCCATAACCACAGAAGTGACCGGACAATAAACTGTATAACGTCATTTAATGTTATAGCATTCATTGCATAACAATATATTTTAGTGTTTGACAACAATGCAAGAACAGGATAAAGACAAACCAACATATACGTTCAACATAGTAAATATTTGATTATGTATTCTAGAAATACAAAGACTGCATACAGTTACTGCATTTTATGTATTGTTATGCATTAAAACAGATTAAGGTCTTTATTAGGAACACATTTAGAAGTAAATTAACTGTAAATAGTAACTATATCCTTTATAATATATTCAAAAACAGAAAAGTCTAATTGAAGAGAAATTTGAATACAACATGAAGAATTATTTTACCTTTGCAAATAATCAGTCAATGAAAAGACCTAACCCTAACCCTACATTTGAATACGGATTAGCTTGAAAAGAAAACAATGTTTTCATTCAGCAGCCTTGTGTTTTTTTTAACCGTTTATAATAAGTTGTGTCCGTCAGTGCATCAGATCCTCATGACGGTGTCCAGGTGAAGAAGTCGATGCCCTGCAGCTCTTCAGGTAAGTACTGCTGCTCGACGGGGTCGCTGAAGGCCGGGTTGTATTTGTAGCCTTTAGCGTAGCCCAGCTGCTTCATCAGCCTGGTGGGGGCGTTGCGAAGGTGCAGGGGGACAGAAGGCAGAGGGCCTTTGTGGTTCCTCAAACAGGCTTTCACATTAGCATAGGCCTTGTATATATCCACAGACTTAGGTGCTCGTGCCAGATAGACTGCACACTGAGCCAGAATCACCTGTTGAGCAGTAACAGAGGTGAAAACACTGGTATACAACTATTATAAGACTGACTGAATATCAGGTTGATATGACTCAGGTAGAGCCTACCTCACATTCGGGCATCCCGATGAAGTGACAGGCTTGAAAGGCCGACACAGCCTGAGGAAGAGCGGCGGGGTCCGCCATTCCTGAGAGACGTGGGGGAAAGAGACGGAAGACGTCCAGTCAGACTGCATTAAAATATACATTCTCTCGCTCACAATCTTCTCTTTCTTATTTCTACATTACAAAACAAAATACAATACAACAACAAACAAAACAATAGTAGAATTGGATTTCCTTGCATATTAGAAAGTTATAACAAGCACAATAAAATATGCATAATAAATAACAAAACATACACTCTACAGGCAACTACTGTCTAACAGAAGTTGCCTGTACAGTAAAGTATTAGCTGAATTAATTGCTTAACAACAGAGAGTGAAAGAGCCAAAAGTTCAAAGAGTAAATTAATTAAATGTCATCTTAAGGGCACAGCTATGCAAAGCTACACACACGATCAGTACAATATAATCAAAACCATTAATGTCGGGCTAGTTGGCAGCTGCGTATTGATCAAAATACAGTGAGTGATCAAGAATACATAAATGCAGCGATGGTGTAACGAATGGTTTCTGGTCTCACGTACCCACGTCCTCGCTGGCGAAGCGGACCAGTCTGCGAGCCACATAGAGAGGATCCTCGCCGCCCTCCAGCATGCGGCCCAGCCAGTACAGAGACGCGTTCTCATTGGAGCCCCTCAGAGACTTATGCAACGCAGAGATACAGTTGTAATGCTCTTCACCTTTGAGTGACACACACACACAAACACATCAGTACTATGTGCTGGACAGAAAAAAGACCAACAAATAGAGAGCTTGGCGTCAGAAACGTCACTTGGTGGTATTTAAATATGAAATGAATAAAGTAAGGACATCTGGGCTTACCAGCTTTGTCATAGAGAATATGAGACCTCTGCAGACCTTCCTTCACGTGGTCCTCCTTCACCAGTATTTTCTCAGAACCACCTCGTTCTGATTGGTCGGGCTGGGCCGAGCTCACCCGAGCCTGAACAGCCAGCTGCAGACCATTGAGTCCTGCTCTCGCGTCACCATCACAAAGGTAGGCGATGGTGTCCAGAGCTTTTTGTTCAATGAAAATCTTTGGCCTCAAAAAAACAATAATAATTTACAGATATATAAACAGTTTATCAGATATACTGTATCAGTCTCAATACTTTCTTTGACCCCAATTGAACCCAATAAGTCAGAAACAGAAGACGACAACAGGCCTCCCACTCAACCAAAGCATTTTGAGTTATCTGGTGACTTACTCGTGTCCGTCTGATTGGTCTTGTTGCTTCGGATTTGCTGGATCTTGTTCCAGGACTCGGATCCCCAGCCTGGCCACGGCCCTGTCCAGGATCAGGCCCATCGCCTCCACAGAGAGCTTCTCCAGAACCAGCACCCGGCACCTGCTCAGCAGGGCAGCATTCACCTGGAAGGACGGATTTTCCGTGGTCGCCCCGATCAGAGTCACCGTCCCGCATTCCACATGAGGAAGAAAGGTGTCCTACAGACACAGGCACGTAATGAGAGAGGGGAAGGGAGAGACCAAAGCAGACATGGGAGGGGGCAGTTAAGGCTGTAGACAATACTTTTTATCTGAGCCAGGCTAACCGTTTACCCTTGCTTCCAGTCTATATGCTAAGCTAGGCTAACCATCTCCTGGTTGTAGCTTCATATTTGACTGACTGACATGAGAGTGGTATCAACCTTCAAGTCTTTCTTTAACCTATTTTTAACCGATTTCTGAAGTTGCAGACCAAACACAGATCGGAGCACATCTGTCTGGCTCAACACTCCACCTGTTGGGATTTGTTGAAGCGGTGAATTTCATCTATGAACATGATGGTCTTCCTCTTGCACAGTCGGAGCTCGTTGTGCGCCTGCTTGATCACCTCTCTGACGTCACTGGTGGACGCGCTGGTGGCAGACAGAGTGACGAATCGAGCTGTGCCTTTCTTTTTACTGGTGCTCGAGAGTATGTGAGCCAGAGTGGTCTGAAAGACAACAAGTGATATGATCAAAATACATGGACTGGGTATATTATTAGCGCCTATATGGCAGCTTGTAACTCCAATTATTGAGCAATTTATTATAATTTTCCAGGTCATATAATGCAACGTGCTTTGAGGGCCTTATGAATCTCATCTTCACTATAAAACCTTGTTACAAGCTCCAAAAATAACATATTTAGGATGTCACCATGGGCTATAATTAAATGACACCTATTGTGTGATGGACACCTACTTTCTGACATTTTATTGATTGAAAGAATAATCTATTGATGATTTTTTTTTTTTTTTTTTTTTTTTTTTTTTAAATCGACAGGGAAAATAATCTACCTTGCAAGCAATTTACAATTTTCATTATTTGTCATTTCATAGACAAAGTTATTAATTAAATCAGCAGATTAACAATTTGTAGTTACAGTCCTTAATGTTACAGACCAATGCTGCATATATTAAAGTGCAGATATGTTGTGTCTAACAGTTAAAACTATTAAAACAACAACATTTGCATACAGTTTTACAATAAAATAAGACAGAAGGGAGATGAATTTAGGATATAGATGGATGCTTCACCACCTTGCCACACCCCGGTGGTCCCCAGAGGATCAGAGATGGTATTTCCTGGGAGTCCAGAAGAGACCGGAGGAGTGTTTGCGGACCCACAACTTTATTTTGCCCAAAGTATTCCTCCAGTGTGTTTGGTCTCAGCAGCTCCGCCAGAGGCTTGTTTCCCGTCAGCAGCGTGAGTGGCGATACAGCAGGTGATGCCTTCAGGGTCTGTCCGTTTAATCCAGAACTTTGGCTCTTGAGATCCTCTGCACCTTCCGGTCCCGGTTCTGCCTCGCTCGACAAATTACGTTTAACTCCCTTGTTGACTGCGGTGACAGCTGGTTGTTTACTCGAACCGTTCCGTTCACTTGGACCTGAAACGTTACTCTTGTGGTTGGTCTGAAACAGAGAAAACACCGAAGATGACGGAGCACCAGCCATGGAGGAGGTCACGGTGCTGTTGACACCGGGAGGTTCAGCCGTTAAACTGATGCGAGACTTCTTTAACGGAGGTTCGCTGTCGGTCCCGCTTTTCAGCAGACACGCGTCGAGGTGTCCGTTAATTGTGGCAGACGTGAAGTCTTTTAAACATACGGGGCAATGCACCGCGTCCATCTCGGTCGCCATGTAGAATTCCCGCGAAAGTTTTGACCCCCATAAACCAGTGGACCAATTTTGTTACTAGTCGACTTCCTGTCTGTTGTTTGCTGTCTGTGTGCATTCACAGGCTCACGAGACGGTCCGAAATCAGAGTACTTCCTGTCTAGTTTATGTTTTAGTGACAAAACGCGAGGTTACATAAAGATGGACATTGTGAAAGTGGAGTTGGTTTGTTTTTGTTTAACCCTTTAGCATAGTAAGTCTGGCTTACATTACAAATTGCACGTGGATGTAACAGTTTTTGTAATCGGGACACGGGAGGTTTGTATTTTCCTACAGTTTAAAGTTCTAAACGCAGCACGTGTCTGTGGTTACTGTGACTGTGGATTATGGAAGAATGTTATGAACGAGCTCCAGGTTTATTCACGTTTTACGACTTTTCAAAGGAAAAACTCTACCTCACTACAATTACCTGACAGCCATAGTTACTTACAGATATATTTTACTGTAAAACATGTGATCGTCTTATAAAATATGGTGCATCATTGCAAATTAAAGCACTTTATAGTATGTAAAATACACAAAATTAGCTCAATGTCAACCAGTTACTGTTGACAATAAAATGCTGCTTAATTAATGCAAATATTAGACATATATTAGACTATATTGCACCAATGTATTATCTCATAGAGGACCTCCGAGTTGTTGACATGTTTGGCTGATAAAGATGACAGTAATTGTATTTAAATTAAAATCATGAAGTGGATAAATAATCACTTTAAAGCACTTCAAATTATGCATGTGCTCTCTCACTATGAGTTATCAATTAAACAGACGTGCTTATAAAACACTATATCTTCATGAATGAAAAATGAAAGCACTGAATAATCCCTTCAATTAACATACAATAATATTAGGCCAGTTATATTATTTAATTAATTTAGTTGTGACAAATCAAAAAAATATGTTATACAATAAAAGAACATTCTTGGTTCAAAAACACAATATGTTCAAGTATTACAATCTATTTTTACAAGTTGTGTTCCACTGCAACTTTAATCAACGCATTTTCTTGTTTTTTGTGGTTGATGGTGTTGATGTCGCCCTCAGGGGAAGCATCAGCATCATCCTCCTCATTTGGGTGTGATGAAACATCCACCAGAGAAGGGAGGCTCCCGCCTCGCAGGATACCTTTGCCCCTCTGCAAAAGACTGTCCAGCCCTTCGCCCAGAGAGCCCTTTAGAGGTAAATACTGTTTCTTTCCGGAAGAAGCGTCTGCAGGCTGGTGAATCTCAAGATCCTCGGCACTCATCCTGCAATTACGACAGACATTTTGGTTGTAATTTTACTGGACTGTGCAGAAGCAAGAAAAGGCACTGAAACAAAAAAGATGAAATGAGTTGACCTCATGTCAAAGGTGGAGCCTTTGAAGGGCGGGTTGAGAGTCTCTGCTGCTGTCGACAGAGTGTACGGGATGGAGAAATGTCTCTGCGCCCAGTGCTTGTCCTTCACAATGGGAGCCAGGTTCTGGTACATATCATCTACAGCCAGCATCGACACCTAAAGGAGACAGAATAAGCAGCTCATTTAAGGTGTTTAGACGAGTTGTATTGGAGAGAAGCCTTGAGGGGAACAACCTGAATGTTTCTGTCAATCAGCTGGTTGGTTTCAAAGTCATCATCGTCCTCGCCGAATGGATTGATGATCTGCTCCCCCACCTACATACAGAGCAGAAACACGTATCATGAAATTGCTCTTTCATGACATATCAAAACAAAAAGCTGTTTTCTACAAGTGAAACGTGATGTTATGTCTCACTTTGAGCCAGCCAGCGTAGAAGAAGAACTGCAGCAGGGTGAAAACAGGGACGTACATGTCCAGCTTGTGATCCTTGTATCCTTTCTCAGGGTTCAGAAATTGTCGGCCAATCACACAGAAGGCAAAGAAAGAGTAAACCGCTAAAGTAACTACCTGCACAGATAGGAAAAAAACACAAGGCTCTGATCAACCGTAGTGGAAGAAGTACTCAGTTATTTTACTTAAGTAAAAGTAGCAACACAAGTATTGCATCAAAATAAAGTAAAAAAATCACTCATTATTCACAATGGACCATTTCAGAATAATCATCTAAAAAGTACCTTAAACTTGTACTAAAATACAGTTTTGAGTAAATATACTTAGTTACATTCTACTGCTGGTGATCAAGTCACTTTTGTAATGAATTTTGGATAAATCTTGTATAAAATATCACTGTATTTCAAACAAAAACTAAAGAAAAAGAAGATAAATGGCCATCAAATGAAGTAAAAATACATTTAGTTAATGATAGTTTTGTCTTTGATACCTGAGTGTAGACCAGAGGGATGCTTATCCAGTCATAGTGGAACAAGAGGCTGCACTTGCCTCTGTACTTATTCAGCTCCTGTAAGTTATAAATATATATTATACTTTTATATAGTTAGTTAGACAAAATGTGTAGACGTACTGGGGCTTTAAAGTCAATTTTCATATCCATCATTCCTACATTGTGTATATAAAAAATTAAAAACAACAACAACAACAGAAAAAAACAACTCGCATCCATCAGCAGCCTCAGAGCGATGTCGTCCCTCACTCGACCCTCCTCTCTCGCTCTGGACGCCAGGTTGGAGAACCAAGTCAAAGGCATCCAGTACTTGTTGAAATCAGAGTGCAGCGACTCAAACTTGTTCAGCTCGTCTGTGGTCATAAATCCTGCAAAGAGATTTGACAGTTTGGTTTAAAGATGTTCGTGATTAGAGGAGTTTTATAACAGTTTTAGATGAGCAGATGTGAAAAAGGTTTAAAGTCCACAAACAATTTAAATATCAATATGAAACAACATCATAACTGAAGTTTCTGCTTATAAATATTCCAATATTTTACTCAAGAAACATAGTGCACATATCTTAATGAAGTAATAAATACTCTTAATACTTATTTTCAGAGGGAGAGGACTGTGAAAAGAATGTATGGATGTACCACACAGATATATACAGAGCTGTTTATGTTGACTGGCACAATGTATTTAGTTTTCTGGTGAAAATCAATGCAGTTTTTTAAAACTATTTATTTAAACCTCGAATAATTACAGTTTTAACAGGCAATTCAATTTGATTATACAAAGGTAAATGACCGTAGTGTTCTTCTTGAATACTGCAGTAAAAGTACTTAATTCCTCTCCACTGTCGCTCTTACCAGCCTCCACTATGTGCTCCAAAGTTGGGAAACGCTTGTGAACTCTTGTGCTGATGGAGCGGAGGATCAGAACTGAAGATAAGTTGGCATATCTCATCAGCGTCCGTCGCAGCAGACGACCCCTCTCGTCCACCCCGTGGACGTTCCCAGACACCACCATCATCAGGTTGTCGGGCAGAGGGAAGCTGCTGTACTGACCCCACCACCGGTTAAAGGCCAGGGACACATAGAAACCTGGGACGAAACATATGTCAGGTATTATCTTCAGATTTGGCTCGTGGAAGACAGAGCCAGTTCAGTCAGACTCACCCAGTACAAACAAAACTGGGATGAAGCTGGTGTTGGTGAACTGGTCGCAGTAAAGAGAGATTCGCTCAAACAGATCCTGCTGCTTTGATGTGAGGAGGAACCTGAGAGGAAAATAAAGAAAAAACTTCCTCTGATGGAGCCACAAACACTCGGTCATACTGCAGCAAACAGCAGAATTAAAAGATGAAAACAGTGAATTTACCTGTAAAACAAACTGAAAAACAGATAAACCCCACAGAACGCCAGGAAGTCTTTGTAAAGCAGCCGGTAGATGCTTCCCCTCCACCTGAACAGGAGCTTGGAGAAGCCACCAAATCGTGCATTGGCCACTTCGAGGGTGTAAGAAACCGTCATGTCCGGTTTATTCTGTGTAGTAACGGCTGAATATTCCTGTAAAATATCAATGTGTGATACGTGAATCATGATACATTTTATTACGAGCATCTCCCATGAAAAAGCTAATATAAAGATGAGTCTTACCTATGGAGGCAGGTAAATCACCTGGTCCTGCTGCCCTGGGAAGAAAAGTTCTTCCTCTGGGTCTCAATTTAAACGTCTCAGCTGTGCAGTCATAAATTAACATTTTAGATTTATCACCTGGGAACCTGAAGCTGTAGAGATACACACCTACAATTACTGAGTGTGATTTGTTTTTCCTCAAATGGTAATGAGGGACTTCTTTTGGGCAATCAGCTGTCATTATATCGGGTTAGGTTTCACCAAATCTTTGCTATAATCTATCAGGATCACAGCAAATCCCCCCGTGTTAAAAAATGTTGATTGTTGTTCAGTTCACTTCTTTGGAGTTGATAAAAGTTGTTCAGAGTTTGTGTGTTCTCACAGAGCTGACGTGGCTCTGTAAATGTCCAAAATGATTAATTTAATGATATTGTCAACTTTTTATTAATCTGCAGATTATTTTCATGAATTAATCAATAAATAGTATAGTATATAAAATGTCAGAAAAAAAGTTTGTGATTAAAAGCATTGTTTGGTATATTTGTTGACTTAAACAATGAATCAACAATAATACAAATGACAATAACAATAATTAAAATCAAGATAATAATAACTGTGTCCGTTTATATAATCAAACCCACATATTACAAAGTTCTTTACAAGAACAGAAGAAAAATACACAACATACATGTTAAAGTCTTACTAAAACGTTCAGAAGCAATTTAAAAGAGGAATATAAAATATATTATCAAGATAGTTGCAGATTCATTTTCTGTTGATTTACTTCTGATCGTTATTATTTCCGCCAGAGTTGATTGCATGCTCTCAGAGAGCTGAAACAGTAGTTTAGAGCTCATAATAAAACAATTACAGCTGGTTTTACAGACAGGACTTCATGTCCAAGAACAACATTTGATTTTATGTCAATCTCCACTGAGAAATAACGAACAGTGACCTGTTTCTTTACAAGCTTCTAAATCCATTCTCTCTGAAGGATATATTGTGATCAAAAGTGTCGTCCATTTAATGTATTTATATTCATTACTGTTATGTTATCAATGTTATTTCACCCCTTTGAGCTTATGTGCTTTGTGAGTCTTGGTTATTGTCTTTAAATTAATCTGTTTGAAATGTTTTGGATATGTTTCATATTTTATGTGCTGCTGCTGTGTTGGTGAATACACAGCCAACTAGAAAGAAGTAAATGTGTTCTCATGCAGTATGAGAACAAAATAGCATAGAACATTATATATAACATTACAACTAGGTATTCTCTTACATGTAAGACATGTAAGAGAAAACAAATGCAAACTACAACAACAATAAAAAGTTATTGAGGTTTCTAAAAATTCACACTGTTTCTCCAAACATGACTTTTCCAGCTATTACAAAAATCAAGTGGGTACTTTGGACCTGTTATCTAAGTGAATCTAATGGCCCGCCATAGAAAATGAAATAAAACACGCACACACAGTGATTTGCACAGCAGAGGCTCTTGTCATTTACTACCAATGACTGTGATAACATGACAGCATCCTTAC